TACAGTGTCACTGTTATACCCTGCTAAACCTCATAACAAGGTTACAATGTCGCTGTTATACCCTGCTAAACCTCATAACAAGGTTACAGTGTCACTGTGTTCCTGTTATACCCTGCTAACCCTCATAACAAGGTTACAATGTCGCTGTTATACCCTGCTAAACCTCATAACAAGGTTACAGTGTCACTGTTATACCCTGCTAACCCTCATAACAAGGTTACAGTGTCACTGTTATACCCTGCTAAACCTCATAACAAGGTTACAGTGTCACTGTTATACCCTGCTAAACCTCATAACAAGGTTACAGTGTCGCTGTTATACCCTGCTAAACCTCTTAACAAGGTTACAGTATCACTGTTATACCCTGCTAAACCTCATAACAAGGTTACAGTGTCACTGTTATACCCTGCTAAACCTCTTAACAAGGTTACAGTGTCACTGTTATACCCTGCTAAACCTCATAACAAGGTTACTATGTCGCTGTTATAACCCGCTAAACCTCATAACAAGGTTACAGTGTCACTGTTATACCCTGCTAAACCTCATAACAAGGTTACAATGTCGCTGTTATACCCTGCTAAACCTCATAACAAGGTTACAGTGTCACTGTTATACCCTGCTAAACCTCTTAACAAGGTTACAGTGTCACTGTTATACCCTGCTAAACCTCATAACAAGGTTACAGTGTCGCTGTTATACCCTGCTAAACCTCATAACAAGGTTACAGTGTCACTGTTATACCCTGCTAAACCTCTTAACAAGGTTACAGTGTCACTGTTATACCCTGCTAACCCTCATAACAAGGTTACAATGTCGCTGTTATACCCTGCTAAACCTCATAACAAGGTTACAATGTCACTGTTATACCCTGCTAAACCTCATAACAAGGTTACAGTGTTGCTGTTATACCCTGCTAAACCTCATAACAAGGTTACAATGTCACTGTTATACCCTGCTAAACCTCATAACAAGGTTACAGTATCACTGTTATACCCTGCTAAACCTCATAACAAGGTTACAGTGTCGCTGTTATACCCTGCTAAACCTCATAACAAGGTCACATTGTCGCTGTTATACCCTGCTAACCCTCATAACAAGGTTACAGTATCACTGTTATACCCTGCTAAACCTCATAACAAGGTTACAGTATCACTGTTATACCCTGCTAAACCTCATAACAAGGTTACAGTGTCACTGTAATACACTGCTAAACCTCATAACAAAGCTACAGTGTCGCTGTTATACCCCGCTAAACCTCATAACAAGGTTAGTGTTGCTATAATTCAACTGACACAGTTTTATATACTGATGTACAGATCACTTCACAGTGAATACATTTTAAGATATTTACTAAGGTGTGTTTTTTATTCTAACCCTACAGGTGAATACTCTAATTTGCAAATCAGGTTTTATCAGGAAAAGGGAAGTGTGTGTGAATAATAATGACTTTCTCCCTTATCTCATCAAGTTTCCTAGGACTAAACTTGACACTTATAATAAACTCAGGTCATGTCATGGAATACATTCTGGAGGAAGTTTCTGAATAAAAAAAATTATTGTCTGTGTTACAATACAATCTTAGAATCATTAAGCCGTGATCATGAACAATTTCTCCCCCGTATAATGACTAACATGGTCATCCTAAGTGAAAAAAGTCACAGTTTCCTATCTATCCATTCTATAAGAGATGCTATGGCACAACAATGTTGGGGGTTGCGATGGCTCAGTCAATCTAGAGCATTGGCCTGCTTCAACCCCAGATGAAGATTCAAGGTGAATGGTTTAACACTTCCGTGCTTTTTGTTTCTCAGGAAGCTGGGAAATGAACCAGTCGGTTGTGGTTGTGAACTTGGGCAAGACATGTTACCCCTGTGATGGGCCTTCCATATGTTGTTCAGTGAGGTAGCCATGTAGTACATGTAGATGAAAATTCTATCAAAATACAGAATGAATTTCATCAGTTTGCTATAGATATGTATCAAGATCTTTAACTCTAGCACAAATAGAGCCAGAAAACCACATATTTGAAAGCTTTTGAAAATTACACACTGAGTCCTGATGATATCAGACTGGCTACCAGTCCCAAAGTTTTTGTGAAGAATTGCTCACCAAAATTCTGTCTCTAGCTTATCGCCCACCTAGTTCTAATGTTCAGGCAATACTTACATCCAAAAGACCAATATTGTAAAGCTGAACGAATGGATGCAAATGTAAACTCAGCTGTCAAATTGTCAGGACGCATAATTGTCCTAGTAACACTTGTGTATTGCAGGCAGTCTGAGGGTCAGCTGATGTTTCATCTATTCCATAACTTATCAGATGTTGAAATTTATGAATATTTAATAGATATATTGATTGTAATTATATATCAAAAATGGATTCTGCAATGTGACATTATTGTTATTGTAATTGCGGTTTCTTACATAAAGTCACATTTGAATGTTCTGATGTATACCAAGACAAATACCTATCTGAGTGATATCTGATGACACTAATGGTAATTTTTAAGGCACTATAATCCTTCTCCATAACTCTATACTATTTTGCATGCCTGTGGACACTCGTAGTGTTAAAAATCTATGCAGCTTATCAAATCTGATATATTAATCCCCAAATAATTGGATTAGTGTCAACCAACACTACACAGCTCTATATATGCCTCCTATATCACACACTTAACTGTAGTATTGTTTGAGGACAAATCAACACAACAACAACATTAGGATCAAGAGTTTTAATAACTGTTTCTTCACCTTAATCCACTGTGTCCTGTTTCAGTTGGCTTGTAGTATTCCTGGTCTTAGTGTTATTTTGTTTATAGGGCAAGTCATAATATCACAAAGTTGGTGTGGATTATCTACCTACCAAACAAAGATATATTCTATCAATATTGACTTTCTCAGCTCAGTATGTACACTAGACAAATATATAGGTTAATTGATTAGTCTTAAGTTGCTGGACCAAGTCTATATACGAGATATCACCTGGATTAAGTATCATACAGAGGGCTGCAGATGTAGGAAACAGTCTGGGGTAAGTTCTGTTATTGTGTTGGTGATTCTTAGTTTGTTGACATTTTCAGTTTCACACTATTGTCTATTTTCATTAGTACCAAGAAATTTTACATTCATTCTTTATTGAATTTTAAATACTTAGTTTCAGTTTTGATGTGGAATCACTCCTGGCCTCATTTATTTTCACAGAAACTTACATTAAATGAAGATAATTCTCTAACGTCTTAGAAGTTAAGTTAGGTTTGTGGAACATTTTGTTAAATACATTAGTGTTGGTCTATAACTTGATGATTTCAATTGGTCGATTGGCTTTTGCTGGCATGGTTGTGTCATTTGGTGAGACACTTTGTCACAATTGCTGTAGACAGCATAGAGAAGGCATCCTGCATGATTTTTAAGTGAGATAGCCACCTCAACTGCTACATGGAAGGTCCAGCCTCAGTTCAGCTACTCACTGGACAATAAGCCCAACTACCTCAAAATAACTGACTGCCAATAGTAGCTTTTGCAGTTTTTTTACTCAATGATGTCTTACAAACATAATTAACACCTAAGCTGGTATTTTTAGGTCACCGTGGATGAATTGAAGTCTTGTGCAACCTATTGTGATCACTTTTGGCCTTCGTTATTATGTTAACAATGGTACAATCGAGTTACGACCCTCTACCTTATACAATATTGGATTTTCAACGTTTGTCACAATATAAGTAAATTTTGAACTCAGGTTTATTTATCTTTCTGTTTGCAGATTGTTAACACATGTGAAAGCTACATTGTTCTGTTTATGAATAAAACACGTACATCAACATTTTATATTACATGCACCAAGAGAGAATTTTTGTGGACATGCTGTTGAAGCTTCTTTTGTAATTTGTATGAAAAATAAAACATTGAATACCCACGTAGGCATGTACTAATTGTTATAGTGTAAAATTAAAGGTACTTATTTATAAAACAGCTGAAGGGATGGAGGTTATTTTTGTCATATGACCAGATACAAGGCGTTTGGGTCAGACGATTCTGTTCATTTAAATTTCAATTGAAATAACTTGCTTTAATCTTCACATGTATTTGGCTTTGTTTTTATTTGTTTACAAGGGTAAAAATTTACCTATACAGATTGTAGCCTTGCAATTTTTTTGTTCTTTTTTTGTTCTTTTTTTTTTTTTTATAATTCACCTATATATTTCTGCACACCTGTGTCATATCCTGGTGTGATAGCAAAACCAGGAGTTAATCAACCTCTGGTCTGTCAATCTGATGCATGTGACATAGTGGGTGGCACAGACATTTAGTTTCTTTATTTATGTTTTACAACGATAACAAATGTGGACTAGTACCATTGACTAGCACAGGTGTAATACTCTACAAAGGAAAAGCTGAACATTACAACAGTATAAATAACAGGACTATATGTTAGGATCTTATATACTAATTGACCAGTTGAAATAAACATGATCAATTATCAACTACAAACAACATTATAATATAGAATACAGCTGACTCTAGGTCCAGGTATGCAGATGCCTCTTTTTCTGGTTTTCTTATAATCTCACCCTTTTTCTATATACAGATTATAAAAATTAGTTTCAAAATACATGAAATTGCCAATTTTGATTTGAAGAAGATAAAGAAATTTGCTGAATATAAATACAAAAATGAGTTAGACAGATGTATGAGTGGACTGAGCTGCTCATTACACATGTTACACATATCTCGAATCGTATACTCAACTATTTCTGGTTGAATTGGATCAACATTCTTCCTTGGATAAGTTATAGGTATGACCCTGTATTATAGGTTAAGTATTTATCAATGAATGCATGATCCAGGATCATATTACTAACCGCTGTGTAGGTATAATTCTTCTTTCAGCAGTTCCATGTCAACAGACTATCATTCAACAGGCTTCAGCGGTGATATAACTAAGCTGCAGTGACCTATATTTTGTCAGATCAATAACATTTGTTTACTTATTTCTTTCAGTCATAATTCAGGGACTACATCATTTGACCACCCTTGGGAGAAATCAAAACATCATGCACCTTCTTCTCCCAGGTAAGTTTTTATATCAGTCATTTTTCCCATTTTAGAAGCAACAATATTTAAGTTTATTTGCTTATTATCTTTTACAAAAGCATTTCTGAAAATGTGGACCACTCTGTAAACTGCATGTATACTAGGTACATGCAGAGAGTGTGTAATACAAGTAACTGAGTACCTTTTGTTTAAAATCTTTTGTTGATTTTCTGTGCGTGATGACTGTTGTGAATAAGCACTGACTATATCTGAAGATGGACCAGATCATACCAACACTTTGTCTATTTTGTTTGTGTGTGTTAAGTATATTGGAGTGTTTTAGTCAATCGTACTTTATTTGTGTATCCAAGTATTTATGTGTCATCTGTCCAAATGGTGAAGGGTACACGGCTTCAACACAGGTAAACATTACTATGGACTTACACCAAGCCATCCAAATGGCCTATATCTGTTGTCACACCCACCACTACCTCCCTGTATTGTGTCTGAAGCCTACCTGTAAATGACTCCCATTACCTGTACAAAAGATGTTATTTGAACAACAAGGGCCAGAACACATCATAAATCTTTCAATCATCGGTCAACTCTACTGGCCATCACAGATTGATTTGATCCTTACAACTAACCCTTCCCTCTCAATCACCCGACACATCACACACACATTCCTACCTGTCACTTACTACAGGTATAGTTACAAGGATTTTCTTATGGACGGTCCACTGCAGGTGAGGCTAGATTTACACAGATAACATTACCTAATTAGTGTTTGTTACACACCTTTGTTGGTGTTCCATCCTAATAATTGTTTTGTATACTCCAGTGTTTTACTTACCTGTGTAAGATTTACCTGTGTCATTTTTGTGGGAGTGGCATCAGATATCTTCTGAGGATTCTGAGATCAATGAGGTAGATCAGATCTCTGGTTTAGTGTGAATGTTGAAGGGCAGGGTCACATATGACTTCAATTGTTCTTTATTTTTTAGATTTATCATCTGTATTGTCGCAAGATTCTAATTATTTTACATACAGTTTGAGTAAGTTGCCATTTAAGAAAACTGTCAACATTCTAGCCCCTTGATTTGTTGATCAAGTTTCACACATTTACAAAAAACATAACATCTTTGACAAGTTCGGGAAAGCCCAACCTCATATATTGCATTGTTGACCGAAATGCCAATAAACATTTTATATTTTGTCCCCTAATAAGCCCACTGAAGTGGTTGGATTCGGAGTTTATGTGATTGCCCTCAGACTTAACATACATGTAGCAGCTGATAACTACATGGTTTAGAGAACTTTTTAAATCTTTACACAGTAAGTTAGCAGTGTTTTCAATATAAGTTGCTGTCCTAAGTAATAGCATGCTCATTAAGTGGTCATTTAAGGATCCTCACATTATATCTGTTTATTACTAATTACAGGATCTACAGTATTGACATGATACAATATGTATATACTGTGAAAAGCCCATTCCTGTACTATGATGATTATTCTTGCAGGGATGATATTCTTGATATCTAGTGGTACCTGAACATGACCATAAAAATTCAGTCCATGAAATAATGAGACGTATTTATTAGACATCTTTTTACTTTCAGATCGCAAACATCTTTTTTTTTGTTTTTCTTAGGAAGTTGCATAAATTTTGACACATAAAAATTACCAGCTATATAGTAATTTGTATTGCTGTGAAAAAGTTTTGTTCTGTAATAAGACCACCACCCTTGTCTTTAAGTAGAAATGGATACATTGATCCCTGAGGCTCAGATATATATGGTCGCTCATTTGACGTTGATTTTGCTCCCAATAAATAGGTCCTAAAATTGAAACTATTGCCCTAAAAACTACTTCTGTGTGATAGATGATATTTCACACAGGATTTGACTATATATTTTACTATCAATGTAATTAGATAGATCAGTTGTCTGGCTTCAGGATATAGTGTTGGTAAACATTTTAAATTTCAAACTGAAATTTAGATTTTTGATAGATGATACATTTCAGTATTATATGTAGAAATGGATTTGCTGTGTTTGTACCTGTACAAAAAAGTACGCAAACGAAACACCAATAAAAACAGGAATATGTACTTATATCTATATGTACACTAAGTATATAAAAAACAGATTGGTAGGCACTTCAGCTAATGTATAAGGTACTATTTGGTACCAACAAACAATGAGATATGATGTTAAAGGCCAGCACTAACATTGTAAATATAATGTATCCCAGGTGTTGTCACAAGGTCACATCAAGGTCACAGTTTTCTGACTGTTATCTATATATATATATATATTTGGTGGTGCGTTTTGTCACTTGATTATCATCATGGATAGATGTTGGTGCTGTAAGTCAGCAGGAATGGAAGAAAAGTGGTCAGTACTTCTATTTATTTTTCTCTTGTACTTTCATACTGCATTTTTTTTGTCATCAAATTTTTCCAGCAACTGGGATGTATAGTCACTAAAATTTTATTACGACTTGTATTTTGATATCAGTTTTACATCATATGGTGTTTTCCAGTAATCAAAAATTCAAATATTATGGAAAAACTGACACCAAATTGTGAACAGCCTGGATTCTACCATCTGTATCATCAATATTTCATCTTTATATTTCACTATTGTGTTCTGGGTTATACTGTTGTGTTGGCATGAAAATATGTTGTTCATATTGACTATTAATGCCAACATCAATAGTGCTTTTTGTATCAGTTCATCAATACTTCACAACTAATGGACACAGGCAGTATTGATACACATAATTTCATTGGACATAATTCATTAAAAAAGAAACTTGGTGATTATGAACACCATATACATGTACTGGTCGCTAACCTATTCCTGCCAAGTACCAATTTTTGCTGAGGGTTGCCAATTTGTTGGTGAGATTATGATATTTCTGCACCTAGTTATTCAAGAAAGAAAATACTTTGTTGTTATAAACTTTTATTTTCATTTCTCTTTATATGGCATCAGTAGTAACATCAGATATGTAATTGAAATAGGATATGGAGACAAGGTTAACAACTTATATAAATCCATCTCCAGTTTAAAAAATTTCTTGAAAAAATGGTTAAGGTAATTGATGACTTAAATAACCTTTTTGTAAACAGTGGCAAGAAATTATACTTGGTGAGGATAGGTTGTCAGCCAGTAATTTACAACGAGTAGGAACTGTTAATTAATTATACTAGTATAGAGACGTCTGTATACAGGAGAACTAATGTTACTTATCTGTCTGGTCAGAAGTACACCTCATACCTATCAAAAGCTACATTTATCTATATATACCTATATATGCTGAAACAGGAAATGTACTTATTTCTCCTGATGGATATACCTGCACCGACATGGCCGCAGACTGAGACAACATATATGGTTAGGTCTAGAGTGCATTACTTGTTGTGTATTAGAAATAGGTGATCTGGTCAATAATTAAGTATACTGTCTAGAGTTGATATTGAGGGTTGCTGTATATTAGAAATCTGTGTACTGGTCACTTGATGTCATAGGTAGTTGATTAGTACCTGTCCCACACACCTGTTACCTGTGACACCTGGTCACTAGTGTATTCCACCAAACACAACAGTCATGTTGTTGGTCAGTGTACATGTTGGTGTCATATATATTATTACTAGGATAGGATTATATCAAATTCAGAACTTTGAATATATAAAGGTTTGAATTCATTAAAATAATGACTAACAATAGTTGTATGGGATGGACATTCAGGTAACTACAGGGTATTTGTTTATTTATACTGGAGTTACCTCCCATCTCAAAATAGTTTTTGATGGTGGTGAATACCTGGATATTGTTTTTTATTCTTGTATGTAATATATGGATATGTTTGCACCAATATTCATAAAGAATAAATAATTCCACAGGTTTACAGACTTGACTGTTATTCTGTTCAAGTGTAACATTTCATCTCCAGCCTCTCATTTTATTTGCTACATCAACAATCAGAATAAAAAAGGTCACCTTTGCTTTTGACAACCATTACCAAAAAATTATTGATGGCTATGCTTTCTTTTTTTTTTTCAGAAATATTTTAATTATCCCTTTTTCTGTAGGACTTTATTGGTTGAAATTATTACAAATGTTTCATGTTCTATGTAGAGGGTTTCGATTGTGTGCTGATTTTAAATGTTAACATTTTTCATTTCAGTTCTCCATCAGTCCAACCATTATCTCCTGGGAGCCCAACAGACAAACAGGTAAGTTTATAATTATCCCATTATAACATGGTAATAATGATAATATTTCATAGAATCATTAGTAAATCTTGTCATTTTGCTTGATATAATGTTGTATTCTGTACCTACAGAGGTTGACTCTTATCCTGGTTTTGATCATTTCCTGGAATTAATTCTCATCCATTAAACTATGATAGTATTATAGTAAAGGTTGTTATTGGAAATGATGAGAGCCAGTGAAATAATTTCCTGTTTTAGTGTGTTAGAACCTTAGGGTTTGATGTTGATAATGCCACACCGTATTAGTCACACAGCACTACTCCTGTTCTTGTATACATCCAATAGATGTACTAAAGCAGGATATTCACCAACGAATTAATAAAACTTTGATATCTGTCTGGGATTCCTATAAGTGTACAGAAGATCAATAATACCCACAGTTAGATATACCTGGGTACATATGATCTAGATTAAATGTTTACTTATCATAGCCATATACACAAACAACAATTTCCCACGCCTAGTCATGCGTAACTAGCGTCAATACCTTATACTCGAAGGCTAGGGACAGATCATTTCATAGATGACTAAGTTTTAATTCTGATTTACGTAAATAATGTATCTCAATCAGATCATTGTCACAATGATTTGTTCAGGGATTATGATAGCAAATCTGTCTGATTTATTGTACAGATTTTTGAGTGACATAAAGGGAGGTATACCTTTAATAGTATAGAGACTAGCTCCCTTTTGACTAAATCACTTAAGGAGGTATGCTATATTGATAGTTATAATGTTATATCTTGTCTTAGTTTTATTGATCAGTCATGATGTGTTTAGAAAGCCTGGAAAGATTATGACAGTATTTTTAGAAACATCTTTCGTTTTCATCTTCAGCAAGTACAGCAATTATAACCTAGGCTGACATTTATATCTTATTTCATAAAACCTATACCTTTATTAACCTGTAAATATTTACAAAAATTGTATTTACAAAAGTCTGAGTTTGAATCAAACTAAGTATATTTAGGTTGATTGCAAGGCTTAAAGCAAAAGGAAATTCTTTGTCTTTTCAATCTAAAAGGTAGTTAATTTATATAAACCTTAATTAGCTCTCCCAGCTGATTACATATGTACTTACTTAAAGCCTGGTAAATCCACTGGCATAAATTCTACCTTTATTTCCTTTTGATTATTAAAACTTTTATTTAGGTTTTAAAACAAATTTCATACTTAATATACCTAGAATTTTATGAAACATTGTCATATTACACACAAAATTTGATTTGATACCTGTTGAGGTCATATTACAGAAGTAAGCATCTCTTTCCTCCTGAGAATGTGAAGCATTGGTCGACTAATAAATCTAAATAAGATTTTTGAAAAGTATCTGTTTCAAACTTCAGTATCCACTGCGGAGGATCTTCACATCAAATGAGCTAAATTTAGACAAGGTATATCTACTGCTGGTTTGGCTGTTCTAACCATTTATCTAAGTTGCTTACAACTAGGATCATAACACAATCATAATTTCCTTTACCGTATGTGACTTTCAAGGGGAATAACTGGGTTTTTTAAACTTTCAATGGTAATAACTTTTTTTGTGTTTTTGTTTTTTTTTCAGTTGTGTTTTTCTCAGAGATTATGACTTTCTGGAATGGGTACTTCACAAAGATATATTGTCATTATTAGATGCACTTTATTTCTATATACCTAAACATAAAACTGAAGATATTTAGAAGGTGTAAGTTAAGTAGCACCCAATAGTAATGATTCAATCAAGTTTCATAATTAGCTACACTGATTTACACAGCATTGTATAGAACTAATTTAAAGTTGTAATTAATGTTTTCTTGATTCTAATAGAGTGTTGTGGACAGAAATCTGGATGACTGTGCGGTTAACTAATTGAATTTAAAGAATACATATACATGTCATTAAAATCTTATTTGAATATGTTTCATCATAGGCTAACTGAACGTTCAAAAATTGACTAAGAAGGATTATTGAACATTTCTGATTTTCTTATCTAAAAAGAAATTGTATTGTTATATTTCTGATGTGACGTGATTTGTTTTGCACTTCGCAGGCTATGCTAATGAAACAGGTGATTTTGTTTCTATGTTCCCATAACTGTTACAGATAAAGTGTGGAGCAGTGACTAATATATTACAAGTTAATTAAGTTTTAATTAATACACCAAATAACCAGGTGACTACGGTTACAATGTTGACTAATAGGTATGAATTTAAGTGATATAAAGAGTTATTTACTCTTTACTTACGTAAACTTTCCCCCGAATTTCAACTTAGACTTAATGTGATACAGGGAGTACAGGGTTGCCCTGTTCTTGTTTTGTCGTACCCAGATAAATGTTACAAGTTTCCTGCACTTAATGAGTATTTAGTTTTTATACATTATTTCTACTGCTACATAATATCCTAGTTAAGATATTTGTGTTGAATTCTGATTTGCATTTTTTTGATGTAAGAAAATACATGTTATCAGATAACTACTACTATTACATTACTATTAAGGAATAATTATTACCTGCTGGAATATAGAGGATACTGTTTTAAAACCAGACTACAGGATATGTTTTGAGTTGTACAAAATGTACATGTAATTATTGTCATTATTGTGGTATTGACTATCAAATATTATCAGAACCAAGTACTGGCTGTCAGGTGTTGTTAGAATTAAGTATCAGCTGTTGAATATCATAAGAACCAGGTATCCAATGATCGAAAAAGAAAACAAGAAACAGTTTAGATAGATCTGATACATTCTGAATATTTAAAACTACATACTGTATTTACATTTATGACGTTAAATTATTTCATGTTCTTTACAATAGCACATTTTTTCTTTTGCAGATAAAGATCAATTCGCCAAATAAATTAAGGTATGTTATACTGCTTTGGTTACAAATATTTCTGTATAACACTGGATTTTAGGTCAAAGTTCTCCATGGCCGTGCTATTTAACAACAACTTATCCTTGACCTTCAGATTTGCATGATGGTATTATTAAGTTTTCTCTTACCTTGAGGTATGAATGATGAGTTCAATTTTCTTTGACCTTGACCTTTAGTAAGTTCTGTTTCTTTGACCTTAATGTTAAACAAGTTAAATTTTCTTTGACCTTGACCTAGTAAGTTTGTTTTTTTTTACCTTTACTTTATTAAGTTTAGTTTTCTTTGACTGTTTTATGAGTGTTTGTATGTAAGTACATATCCTGAATATGTACATTTACTAAAAAACTAGAAACTACAAAAATATATATATTTCAAACTTTCTCTAAACTAAAGTAGGACTGAAAGCAAATTATACAGCTTTCACATGACCTCAAATTCTGAGCAGTGGTAATTGAAGCCAAGATTTTTGCCTGACCTTCAACACTAAACATCTTTTGAACTTTTCTTGTACTAAAACCTATCGAAATACATGCATCGTCTGACAGAAGTATGTTGAGTGATGTTTTAAGGCGTAAAGAAAATAAAAGTTTGGCTGTAGAATTACACCTGCTATCCAAATCATCTGGCTTGCTGAGCTGAGAAGGCAGCCCACACAGACACCCCTCTCATCATTATCAGCAGTTACACCCAGTTACTGGTGCAGACTCACTGGTACACAAACACCTTACATGTACAGCACAACACTCTACAACATTGTTTGATAATTGCTCTAAAAGTGCAGTTAATGAGATAGTGAAATCAGTAAGTTGTGGATGTGATGCTGTGGTCCTGACACAGATCACACAGTTATCAGACAGTAGGATAAGGCTGGCATTATGTGAGGAAATACAACAGGTCTTGTACCATGTGAAGTTACAACAGGGTCCAGAACACTTTATAAAAAGTTTACATTCGAGGACTGTAATACGTTTAATAGTGAGGATTGTTTTGGTGGACACTACAGTAAGGATACAATGAGGTAGGTGTTGATCAGGGTACTGGAGTACATCAGAGCATTATATCAAATATCTTGCTCCACAGCTTAATATGTTTTTACTTGTAGATTTTGATATTTTGATGATTATATAAGATGTTAGTATATTATACCTAGGATGTTCTATATGTCTTATTGACACTGAATAAAATGGTCAAACTACATGTTGATTTTTAGGGAAACTTTCAAACATATTTTAGCAGGAGATTCTCCACCACTGTTAAACTTGCTCCCATTTTGTCATTTGGTCAGTGAGGAGAAAATCAAATGATGCTTTTAGGACAAATAAAACACTTGGCAAAGACAAGTATTTTGATGGGAGGTGAAAATGATATTTCCTTGCTTAAATTAATAAGAAATAACTTTCAGAGTGATTCTGAAACAACTTCTTCATTATGTACTAAATACTAAAAAGTCATTTGAATTAGCTGTACTTAGATTGACCTTGAATTTGTTGACCTTGGAGTAATCATTTAGAAGTAGACTGATCTACACATAGTTCTCACATCTGAATCTTCAGGTATTGCAGATTAAGACTTAATTACTCTCCCCTCTGGTCCATATATAACATAAACTTAAAATACAATCACTGGCTCGTTTGAATGGTCGTGTAAAAATGTCTATAGATCATCTGTTCTTCCTGTGGGTAACCTTGAGGTAGTACTCTAATGTATTTTTAATAGATACCACCGGTACAAAATAATTACAGGTAAAACAGTGTAAAATGATTGACTGGGCCCAGGTGTTCGGATTATTTAACTTCAAATTAAGAAATTTTATTCATTGGATTTTCAAAAATATTTTGAGTGCAGGTAGAATGAATGGTAAGACTGAAAAAAAATGAAGTTCAGTTTAAGATTGTTGTAGTCATATATAACAAAGGCTTCCCTTTCAAAATAGACTTAAAAAACATTAAGGATCAAATAAAAAAAAGTGTTTGTTCATGCTATATCATACAGTTGTCAGATACCAAAATAGTTGTCATTTAAATGACTTTTCTTCTCTGATGTTTCCTCTCTGTTTTTGCAGGCCACTAAAAGCTCCACCTGCCAAACGGGACGACAACGCCATGGTTACTCTGAAGGGTTGGCTATACAGACAGGTAGGCTGTGCATTGACTTGTTATGGACGGAGAGGGGTCAGGAATCTATAAACTGGTGTTTGTTGGGATGGGGAGGAAAAAAGGTGTTGAGACAGTAGGGGGCCTGTCATACAAGTGTCAAGGGGTAGGAAGGGACAGTAGGGGGCCTGTCATACAAGTGTCAAGGGGTAGGAAGGGACAGTAGGGGGCCTGTCATACAATTGTCAAGGGTAGGAAGGGACAGTAGGGGGCCTGTCATACAAGTGTCAAGGGATAGGAAGGGGCAGTAGGGGGCCTGTCATACAAGTGTCAAGGGGAAGGAAGGGACAGTAGGGGGCCTGTCATACAAGTGTCAAGGGTAGGAAGGGAGAATAGGGGGCCTGTCATACAAGTGACAAGGGGTAGGAAGGGGCAGTAGGGGGCCTGTCATACAAGTGTCAAGGGGTAGGAAGGGACAGTAGGGGGCCTGTCATACAAGTGTCAAGGGGTAGGAAGGGACAGTAGAGGGCCTGTCATACAAGTGTCAAGGGGTAGGAAGAGACAGAAGGCATGTCATACAAGTGTCAAGGGGTAGGAAGGGACAGTAGGGGCCCTATCATACAAGTGTCAAGGGGTAGGAAGAGATAGAGCTCTATCTAGAGGTGAATATTAAACTGACAAAATATGATTAGGAAAGAGTTACATACTGTGGTTTATTTACAGCTTTACACTAGTCATAACTGACATGAATAAAATTAGATTTACCGAATTTGAAACCAAATGGTAAATTTGTTATATAAAACATCTCTCTAGTGTATTGGGATGGGTATGTTTTTTTTAATATGCATCTATAGTACCTTGATTTGGAAGGGTTAGGGGAGGGAGTAGCAAAGACAGATCTATAGTGCGTTTGACTGGGGAGGGGTAGGCTGGTGATGTCAGTAATACAAGTCCAATTACCTTGGGGGTTAAGGAGCTCTAAAGAAAGGAATGTGAAGCTAATAAACCTGATTTAGATCCAACATACTCTGACCATAGATTCACTTCTGATGGATGTTTGTATAATGAAGACTGACTGACCGTGTTTTGTTTACTTTGACCTGAGAGCCAGAGATGTATTCAGATTCTGTAATGATATCACCAGGAAGACAATCATGAAATAAGATAGCAGTATATAATTTGTATCTCCCAATTAGGGTAGTAGATTATGTTTGTTTTAGAACTAATCTTTTTAATGGTACCTGAAACCTTTTCTCATCAGAAAGTCTTGTCAGCTTAATGATATCAAAGACAAATTTTCTTGTTTGCATTTATGTAGTTAATTAAAAAAAATTCAGAGTTTTATACAATGATACAGACTAAGTCTCAGCATTTGGAGAGGTGAAAAATACTGTAAGCTTGGAAAACATTTTACAATCTGTGCAATAAAGGATTTCTGCCCTTTCTTTTTAAGCTGACTTTTTGTAAAATGATGCAGTCTCTGACACTTACCTTAGTTACCTTCATTAACATATTAACAGTATTATAAGCCTGATAAAACTATTGTCTTTCATACACTGACAATGACTTCCTTGCTGACCCTACTACAGGTATTATGATAGACAGGAATTACTTCCTGTTTTATCAGGAACTAGAAACTCACCCAATTTGTTTATATATCAACAGGAGAGTGGAAGCTGGAAGACATGGAAGAAACGTTGGTGCGTCTTGTCTAATTTCGGACTCTTTTTTTACAAAGGTAAGGATGCTTTGTTTCTGATATTTGTAAGTTACAGATAGGTCATGCTTAATTAGACTTGTTAAACAGGTGTTTTTATCACTGGTGGGATCATGATACCAGGTAAATCTTGACACTTTTACAAAGGCAGTGCCACACGTAAGATTTTTTTATGAAATAAAGGCCTAGTCTTGACAGTGTTTTCTACCTGCTAGTTTTGAATTACTCAGGGTGAGTCTTGAAATAGAAATGATTCATCTGCCAATGTATTAGATATTGCAGGTAAGATTTGTATCTGCTTTGATTGAATCAGACTGGACAAGATATGAAAATAAAACTTGAATGACACATTACACAGAATTTTCATCATTATTCATTGGTTTGTCAAGGTAATACATAGTGTGTGCTATGTTACATATTTAAATGGTGAAGTGTTGTCAGCTGATATTGAGCCTCATATACAACTAGATAGAGTTACAGCCGTTTGTTTATTTTGTTTACTCAGTGGTGAAGAATTACCCACAAAAATAATTTTGTATGCTATACGGTAAAAAATGTTTTCTATACAGATGACAAGGAGAGCCATACTGTGGGATCTATCCTGTTGCCAAGTTACAGAATTGAAGAATGTAGTCCAGCAGACACCAGTAAAAAATTTGCTTTTAAAGCAGAGCATAATAATATGAAGACGTATATGTTTGCCACGGATACGCAGGACGATCGCACACGTTGGATTGAGGCTCTTAAATGTGCAGCAGTGCTTAAAAATCCTCCTTCGTGAGTAACGCTGTCTCCTAAAGTCTTCTGTTGTCTGTAGTATTAAATCCTTAAAGACATCAGTCCTGAGTTGTCCCAAACTCATCTTCATAGCAGTAATACTCCATTTCATAAGTAATTCCATTTATTGAAAAAAAACCTCTAATTCATCTGCCTTATAACTCCACTTCTGTAGATAAAAAGAAAAACTTACATAATATCAATATCCAAAACATTTTTACACATTTGGAAGTCTAGTAGCAATTGTCTGTTAACTGGTTAACTGGGTATCATTTATATGTATACAGAAAGTCTTCTTTGTGTAAACAGAGTATATTAATAGAAAAAAATAGACCTGAAAATCTATCAGGGTAGAAGTATACTGTTTTGAATCTTACAATGATTTGATTTGTATTGATCTGTTTCAGTAAAGAGAAGGAGACAAACAACAATACCCCACTTCCTAAGCTCATTCCAAAGTCACCTTTTATGACATGGGATGATGATGAAGATGAAGATGATGACCAAACACCCAGGGGACTGTCCTCCTGGCAAAATATGGTAAATCAGGGCTATAATCCTGGACCCCAGCAGCAAGGTACCCAACAGCCACAGAAATCACCACAGGGTGTCAGAGGTCAAGGGTCACCTGGTGGTCATTATCCAATGAATGACCCCAGATTCGCAGAAGCAGACCCTCGACAGCGAGGAAATCAACAAGTCAGAGATGACACTCGAGGCCAGTATCCCGAAAATTATGCTCGACTCCAAGATGATCCCAGAATGGCAGGTCCTCAAAACAGACACGCAAATGATCCTCGTCTTAGTGAAAACTATACTTCCCAACCTAATGACCCCAGGGTAGGTGCTCTGCCCCCGGAGCACAGGCAATATTCTCAGCATCAGAATCGACCTGGGCAGGATCAGCACATCAGTAATCCATACTCTCACTACAATACTCACATGGATAGACAGCACCCTAATGGCTACAATGATATGAATGGCAAAGGACAGCAAAGTCATGGGGATCGGGATCCTTATAGTTATAGCACAAAACACCATAAACACCCAGGCAATATGTCTGGCCCACGGCACCAACAGGACACACAACAAGTAGAACCCAGACAAGACCAGCGACAAGAACCACGACATATTGATTCTCATTTGGATTCTAGACAGGATCCTCGCCAAAGGAACCATACACATGATCCACGACAAATGGACCCTCGACATGATCCTCGACAGCAAGATCCTCATCAGATGGATCCTAGACACGATCCTCGACAAATGGACCCTCGACATGATTCTCATCAGATGGACCCTCGACACGATCCTCGACAGATGGACCCTCGACACGATCCTCGACAGATGGACCCTCGACACAACCCTCGGCAAATGGACCCTCGAAATGATCCACACAAAATGGACTCTCAACAGGACCCAAGATACGCTAGATCTAACAAAGACTCTTATATGGGTAGAAAGGCTGATTCAATGCCAGCCCAGTTTGTAAGGAGAGGAGAGGACTACAACAGGAGGGGTGACTCTCTCCCTGGTCACTATAACAAAGACGTTTCACCCAATAGTAGTTTTGATCCATACTCAGGTAGGAAAGGTGATTCTCTCCCAGGACGATATTCAGGGGGACAGGACAGTTCACCCAACACAAGTAATTATTCTGATGCAGCTTATGACAGATACCCTGGACAACCACACATACCTCAGCAATCTAGACGAGTTCCTGACCCTCATGACCCCTACAGCAAAGACCAGTACAACCCAGGGTCAAGGTCACAGGATCCAGGGCCAAGGTCGCATGATCATGGCTACAGTGAAGGGCCAAATCAAAGGTACCCTGATAATGCCTATTATTCATCCAGAAATCTCTCTAATGGCCTGACAGACACCCGGGAGGGATTGTATGCCCGCATAGAAAAGAAAGGACTTGTTTCAAGCAAATTTGGTGTTGAAGAAAATCACTATTTACCTATGGGACCCATCAGAAAATCCCTTGAGCTGAGCCGTAACAGTCACAAGTATAATTCAGTGTAGTTTTTACTTATTACATATAACCACGGGTATAATATACATGGGTATATTAACACAGGTTATGGGTTCTCTTTATCCTGTCTTCTCCTGGACTCTGGCTAGTAAGGGGAACCTTGTGCAGAATCTCATAACAGTGTTATTACTGTTTAGATTTTGGGCTGGACTTCTCAAGTAGATTAAGGAGAATATCCAAACAGTCAAATATAGAGATAATATTAGATAATATATAGAGATAATATCAGATAATATATAGAGATAATATCAGATAATATATAGAGATAATATCAGATATATATTGAGATAATATTAGATAATATATAGAGATAATATTAGATAATATATAGAGATAATATATAGAGATAATATTAGATAATATATAGAGATAACATTAGATAATATATAGAGATAATATTAGATAATATATAGAGATAATATTAGATAATATATAGAGATAATATTAGGTAATATATAGAGATAATATTAGATAATATATAGAGATAATATCAGATAATATATAGAGATAATATTAGATAATATATAGAGATAATATTAGATAATATATAGAGATAATATCAGATAATATATAGAGATAATATTAATCTTAAAATCTGAATATTAGCAATAGAATATCTATAACCCATTTAATCAATACTGTTGTAACTCTTAATACGCCTGTTCTTTTACTCTTTGGATTTAATTTTGAAACAACTTCATTCAGATTAATACATGTAATACATAATTACTCTTTTTTAATAGCTTCAGTTGTTGATTTCAGTTACAAGGCCACATCAAACTAATTCATAGTTTATTCTCATTTGATATTTTGAATTAATTTTCAGTTACATTTTTTGATTCATTTTTTCATTATTATATCAGTTTTAAGAGATTGAAAATGTACTGCTATATGTTAAAATGCTTACATACTTAACTGACCTTAGGTCATTACAGTTTGCTGTGGCGTAAGACTTAATAGTAAATGTTTCGTTTCTTCACTCACTTTATAGATCTTTTAACTTTAAGATAATTTTTCACATCTCTCAATTATGTGTTACCTTTGTACAAGCTTTTTGTGCAGTAGTTAATTGTTCTGTGTTATCCTGGTTACGGATTGTGAGGCGTCATTGTTTTTACATGTTTGTGTTGCTATGGTAACAGTGCATGAGGTGTTGGTCAGATTCAGTTTTGGTGACAGGCTTTCCATTAATTTAGTATATTGTACTTGATGAAAAGGAAGAATTTACAGATCAGTTCAGGGAAATCCTTCAAACTTAAAAAGTTCCCCCCTTAAAAAAAAAAAAATCAAAAATCAAAGATTTATCACAGATGATTTTTATGATTATTTGGAACTATGGACAAGAAAAAAGGGAAATGGAATTTTTCCAGATATCATGAGTTGAGAATCAGTCTTCCAGTTTCAAAATGTCTAATGCTTTGTTGGATTTTTTTTTCAGAGCTGCCATATTGTGTTTACATAATATTTGCAATTTTGTTCTTGCTGATCAGTGTTTGGTCTTTTGTGGTTGTAATGCATGTATCAGTTATAAGTTTTTGGTAATACAGCTTAACTTTTTAATTTAAAAAATTACATTATTGAGTTTTTTGTCATTTGATTTGTGTGCTGTAAAAAGTGGAACTTTGTTAACCAAATGATATAATTCTCTGTTAATCAATTGATATTGTTAATCAAATTATATAATTCTCGGTTATTAAAATGATATAATTATCTGTTTATCAAAACCTTTATCTGAGAGATTCACTCTAGATTACTCAAAGTAATTTTGCCTGTTTTTTGTTTCAAACTTTTTTTATTAAACAGTGATAACAGTGATATAATTGATATAGTGTAGCTGGGTAGAAATTGTGAGATTATTGTGATTGTCGGTAATTAACAGGGTTCCACTGAGCTGGTTTTTAATTTTGATGGTTTGAAAGCTTCATCACTTGCACAACATAACAATTATTTAGATATCCAGTTTATATTATCACTCTCAGTAAAGTAATGATTTGTTCACTTTTTTTCTTGTTATTTTTACAGATTCCATGAACCAGAGGAAGTGATGATGAGTCATAAAGACATTCCCCAGCATGCCAAACATAGACCTTCCAAACGCGATACTCCTTCAGATCGTTCCAGTGACAATGAGGCTCAACGACAGACAGAGTATGATGGCTTCTACTCCCCAACACGTGAATCTAAACAAAGAGAGCTTGCCAACCGACCTCTTCCTGCCATCAAAGTTCCCAAGGAACCTGAGAATCCACCTGTAAATTTGAATGCCCACCACCAGCGAGAGGATACTGATGATGGATACAGCACCTTGACAAAGTACCAGGAACAGCGGCGCAAGAAAGCCCAGGAACAACAGGAGGCTCCCCACCCAAGGTCAAGGCCACAGCATGACCTTTATGACCAAGGTCAGGTCTACCCTCGGCAACAGGAACAGGAATTTGGAGTGAGAGTGCCTGAACAACAGAATGAAACATTGCATACCTATGTAAACCTGCCTGATAGGGCCAGTCTGAGGGAGCTACAGGATCGTGATGATGGGGTGGAATATATAGAAGAGGTGCCTGAACGTCCTCCCCTCCCCACCGCTGTACGCAAACAAATTGTGGAGGAGATAGCTCAAGCTAAGACACCCAGGACCTCTGTAGAGCTGTTAGAGGCAGAGAGGGCCCTAGAGACCAGAATGCAACAACCCTCCTACTTCAACTATCCTACGCCTGTTTTTCCTCCAAAGGTAATTTTTCTGCACCTGTTTTTCCTCCAAAGGTAATTTTTCTGCACCTGTTTTTCTTCCGAGGGTAATTTTTCTATACCTGTTTTTCATTCTTAATGTAACTATCCCAGCCACACACCTTTCCCTCCAAAGGTAAATATCCCCAAACTCAAACCTGTTTCCTTTCAATAGATAATTATCTAACACCTGTTTTCCTTTCAAAGTTGATTTTCAACACCTATATTACTTCCAAAGGTTACTTTTCCAACCCGTTATTCCCTCCAGAGGTAATTTTTCCACACTTGTAAGGCTCTATTCTCTCCAGAGGTAATTTTTCCACACTTGTAAGGCTCTATTCTCTCCAGAGATAATTTTTCCACACTTGTAAGGCTCTATTCTCTCCAGAGATAATTTTTCCACACTTGTAAGGCTCTATTCTCTCCAAAGAAGCTTTCCTCTTCCTGATTCCTTACAAAGGTATATATACCATGCCCTTTTTCCTACCTTTATTTTTTTCAACTTTACTATTTCATTTAGAGATTGATAAATCTAATATAATATATAAGATTAACATTAGTTTTTTACTTATGCTGTGTTTAGGTATATCAGTCATTACCTATCATGCCATCGGCAAATTATACTTACAATATAGGTTTTTACTTGTGATATTTTCTTAATGTAAGGAACAACCTGTGTTTGATGATGAACCTGCACACTGGCAACATGATCAACGAGGTAACAACAGTTTACCAAGGCCATCACATCAACAGACTGGAAATGAACAGACAAGAGGCAATAATACGGGTTATTATGGGGACAGAGTGGATGGAAGTCCCTCAAGGGAGAGAACTGTGCCAAAACAACTCCATGGACAAGGACGACAGAGACAAGCAGATGGTGACCGGCGCCGAAGGGACAAAGGAACAGGGAAGCCAGGTAAGTCAGGGGAGGTAACTCCAATAATATCTACCATGTACATTTATCTATAAAAGGTATCTTTTGATTTAGTGTTGATTTTAAAGTAGATAACTCTTTTTTTAATTCTAAAATGACATGTAGATGTATTTAACAAAATTTCTTTAACAAATTATTTTTTGTTTATTCAATCAAAATTAATGCCATCTCCTTTATTATCATAATTTTTTTTTCAATCAGACTTCATAAGACATATGCTTCTATGCTTCTGTATTAGAATTCACAAAATTATTATTTTATTTAGTTAACTGATCAGAAATCTTTGATTGTTAAAATAATTGATGTTACAGTTTAGATTTACTTGAAAGAATTATATATATGGGTCTATTACATTACTCCCACTCCACTCCATATGTCCTGTCGTTGTTTATCACTCACTGATCATCACCTCATTCTCACCCACAATGGTCATCACCTCATTCTCACCCACAACGGTCATCACCTCATTCTCAACCACAATGGTCATCACCTCATTCTCACCCACAAAGGTCATCACCTCATTCTCACCCACAACGGTCATCACCTCATTCTCAACCACAATGGTCATCACCTCATTCTCACCCACAACGGTCATCACCTCATTCTCACCCACAACTGTCATCACCTCATTCTCACCCACAAAGGTCATCACCTCATTCTCACCCACAACAGTCATCACCTCATTCTCACCCACAACGGTCATCACCTCATTCTCACCCACAACAGTCATCACCTCATTCTCACCCACCACAATCATTACCTCATTCTCACCGACAACAATCATCACTTCATTTCATTGTCGTTTGTAGTATCCCTACACTGACACCAAAGTATCAATTAGACTGGTTTGAATCTCAAGGATTCTTCAATTGGACAGAAAATGTGTTGTTTCTTCCATTACTCTTACAACAATACTGATCACAAACTGGCCTGTCAATCCTTATTTACTTTATTTACAACATCATGTTTTTAAGGAAAAGAAATCTAACGTCAAATAGTAGTCAAATTAGTGACCCAATGACCTGGATGTGATCTGTTGTAAGAAGGATGGGAGAGACATGTAGTATACCAAATCGACTGATTTATAGGACACAATGACGAAATGCACTGACAATCATATCCAACCACATGACATATGTCACATGACATGGGTCACATGACTCTTGTCACACATCGCTGGTTTCTGCATTGTAACACAAGCCTGTGTATCCTTACTAATATACTAGATGTTTTGATGGTAACAATATGGATATTCACCTAGATCTTATATTATTCTTTAACTAAATGCTATACTAATATTGTTCACGCATATAACTGTTATTGTATTTGGTTGAAATTTGAAGAAACATATAATTCACTATGTTATAGCCTGTTTTGTGAGATTTTTAAACCTTTAACAAACTAGATTTACCATCATGATGGTGAAACACCTTTATAGATATAATCATTGTAGTGGACAGAATCCACAAAAATAAAATCTTTTCTTTATTCTTTGTTTGTTTTTCATCCATATACATTTTAACATGTGTAAATCAGTTGTTGGTTAGGACAGGTGTCAGTAAATTCAGGTTCTGTCTACAGCTTTATCCGTATGTGATTGCTGGTCTTTTTGATTTTGGTGAACTTATTTTGATGGTTTTATCTCAGTTTTATGTTGTGACTGCCATATGTTTTTTTCTTCGTGTGTAAGATTTGAGTCTTCATGAGGTTCAGCGTTAAACTTAGTTGTGGCCAGTCCTCGGGTCATTGCTGTACTTTAGATAATACAAATTGTGCTGTAGTGTAATAAGGGCAAAAACTTATAATTGTGGTTCACATTAGACAACATACCATGATTTTCAGGTCTTCAGTACAACGTTATTAGTTTCAGGTGCATTGTATTCATAAGTTCACATATTTCAATTTCGGATATCTGTAAGTTCACATACCTTGGGTCCTAGATATTCACTAGTTAGGGCCCCGCATCGCGATGCGGGTGCCCTATAGTAATCACCTTGTCCGTCTGTCCGTCTGTCTAGCCGTCTGTCTGTCCGTATGTCTGTCTGTCTGTCTGTCCGTTTCGCTTTCCGCACGATATCTTGAGAAGGAATGATGAGATTTCGATGAAACTTGCTTATGATACTTGGTACATAAGTCCCTCGCTCAAGTTTGATGTTCGCCAAATTCCGCGCATATTTAATGAGGCTGCTGCAATCTGATTGGCTGAATGTTTTACATGTCTGTCGGTTTCGCTTTCCGCGCGATATCTTGAGAAGGAATGATGGGATTTCGATGAAACATGCTTATGATACTTGGTACATAAGTCCCTTGCTCAAGTTCGATGTTCGCCAAATTCCGCGCATATTTAATGAGGCTGCTGCAATCTGATTGGCTGAATGTTTTACATGTCTGTTGGTTTCGCTTTCCACGCGATATCTTGAGAAGGAATGATGGGATTTCGATGAAACTTGCTTATGATACTTGGTACATAAGTCCCTCGCTCAAGTTCGATGTTTGCCGAATTCTGCGCATATTTAATGAGGCTGCTGCAATCTGATTGGCTGAATGTTTTACAGAGAATATCTTCTGAAGGAATGATTTGGGATTTCTTTAAAACTTGCTTTGTGATACTTGGTACATAAGCCCCTCATTCGAGTTCAATGTTCACCCTGTCCGTCTGTCTGTCCGTCCGTTTCCCTGTCCGTCGATCCATATATCTGTCCATCTGTCCATTTTCATTGGATTTTGATGAAAGTTGCTTTCAATACTTGACACCTGTCCATATATTTCTTAATATTAAGAAACTCAATCATAAGGGGTAGGTATTATGCGGGGCCCTTCCTCGACATTGGTCTAGTTTGCACAGCTTGTTCTCCGGCAATCACAAGCTTACAAACTTTGATTTCAGATATCCGTAAGTTCATACACCTTGATTTTTGGTAGCTTTGATTTAACACCTCGGTTCACTTGCCTTTGCCAGGTACAGTGTGTTGCACTTGTTTAAGACAGCTTGGTTTTTTTGTGTTGGTTACCGCCTGCTAGACCTTTGTTAGACCTTATACACTTACTCAGGTACAGAATTGTTCTGGTGTTTATTTCCTGTGTTTGTTAGTTGTTACAGTTTTGATCATAAGTAGCCTGGTAACTTAGGTATGTGTCATTTTTCTCTGATATTTGTTGGGAGGGCCTACTAGTTTAATGTTCGGAGGGGCACACATTGTGTGATAAAACTGGCTGTATATGACTGCTAATACAGTAAATGTAAGGTCCCTAAAAGACTCTTTTTTTCATGTTGTCTGTCGTTAGAGAAGATAGTATTACATTGGAATCTACAATTAACAAATATTTTATGCCATTTGAGCTTACTTTGCTTCAACTTTTCACTGTCCTGGTCAGTAATTATTATTAATGTGCAATGTACAAATGAAAACATTTGATCTTTTGATGGATTATACTGTTTTAGAGGTGATATGCTTACAGTAAAAACATAGAAATATATTCATAATTCTTTACCAATTTTGTGAGCAATGGCATTTTTCTTTCAATGCATATTGATACGGAAATATCATTTTTGACATTAGTTATATTTAAAATCAAAATGTGAAGGTCGCTTAATGTTGCAAAAAAAATTTACATTCAATGGAATATTCAACGTGGCATGTTTGTTAGCTATGTTCAATTCCTCTTTTACTGAAGCTCTTCTGTAGAAAATGTCCCACTTAGCACACTTTCTATATCACTACTAAACCATCATACACCAACTTAATCCATTGTCACTGTGCTGTGTTCACTAGAACAACAATGAAAAATGTTGTTTGCCATAAATAACTAAATGTAGGAGTCATACCTTATTTATTCTGCAATAAGCTCATACAGAAATAGCATTTTTAGTATTACTCCTGACCTAAATTATATATGGGTGGGCTTATTACAGGACAATGAAAAAGCATTTTTATTATTAATACTGAACAACACAGATATGGGCCCGCTTATCACAGGACAATGGAATGGCATTGTTATTCTTATTACTGAACAACAACAGATTTGGGCGGGCTTATTACAGGAAAATGAAATAGCATTGGTAATATTACTATTGACCAACAACATATTTGGATGGGCTTATTACAGGACAATGAAATAGCATTTTTAGTATTACTACTGAACAACAACAGATATGGGCGGGCTTATTACAGGACAATGAAATAGCATTGTTATTCTCATTACTGAACAACAACAAATTTTGGCGGGCTTATTACAGGACAGTGAAATATCATTGTTAGTATTAATACTGAACAGCAACAGTTATGGGCGGGCTTATTACAGGACAATTGAATGGCATTGTTAGTATTAATACTGAACAACACAGATATGGGCAGGCTTATTACAGGACAGTGAAATATCATTGTTAGTATTAATACTGAATAGCAACAGATAAGGATGGGCTTATTACAGAACAATGAAATAGCATTGTTAGTATTACTATTGAAAAACAATAGATATGGGTTGGCTTATTACCAGATATGGGCTTATTGCAGCTAAATACAATTGCAGTATAGTATCCGAGATATGAAGACTAGTAGAGTGTGATTGTAACAGATGGTTTATCCCCAGAAGTAGAGGAAGCTGAAAACACCGAAGTCGTATCAAACTGGGACAGAGTGAAAGAACATCCTGAAGGTAGACAGACAGAGACGCGGGTGAAATTATCTTACTTAGCTCCTACAGGAGAATCCAGTCAGGAAGACAGTGTGGAGCTAGCCCAAGGAAGTATGTCCAGCAATAAAAATAGTTCAAGTGAAGTGTTAGGGAAAAAATTGGAAGATTATGCGGACAAATCTCAGGAAGACCCTGCAGAAAGACAAAAGTCTACTGAAAGCCTTGAAAGATACAGGTCTGATGAAGGAGTGTTGTACACACAGGTTCATAAACACACTCAAAGGGAAGGTAAAGACACACAGGGAATGGGGCCATCCAACAGTAGAAATAGGGCAACAGAAAAGTCCAAAGCAAAGCTCACTCACAGAAAGGAAGAAAGTAGAAAAAACAATATAACACGGTCTCAGATGACAAGCTTAGAGTCTGATCCTGTCACCAGTAACTATGCCAATATGAACCCTCTGGACATGCCGTATGAGGAAGTGCACCGACTGGAGGTCAGCAGTGAGGAGGATGAGGCTGACTTGGCAAGCAGAAGGCAAGAACGACGGTCGGCCTTCCGTCCACTTCTCAGCAAACCAAAGGGCAAGGACACATTCCAGCGTCTGGACCGATTAATGGGTACACCGCCTTGTCCCCCCAGCCCTGCACAGTCAGAGAAGGTCAGCAAAACAAACGTAGCTAGTAACAATCACAAACCAGCTTATCATAGCGATAGTAAGCATAACTTGTTTGATGGAGAAGAGGAGGAGGAGGATGAAACTGAGGTCAAAAAGAGGATATCCATGGCTAGTATAGCGAGTTCTAATGGGTCACAGTTCAGAGGTCACAACTTCAGATCAGGTACATCTAGCTAGAAATTTTATATTTGATAAATGAATGTATTTACATGTTTTTTATTTCTAGAAAAATTACTACTAATTTGTTTGGTTGATTTGTGCATGTTAGATTGGTGTGATTGTAGGTTGATGTGGTTTGTAGGATTACTATAGTAACAGGTGTAGTTGTGTGACCTGTGTAGACGGCAGGTGTCAGTTAGGATAAGACCTATAGGACAAGCATTGTGTGACGGGAAACCTGTGAAACTTGTACCCAAATGCAGCCTAAATGTTTTAAAATCATATACCATATGTTAGCATGACCCTATATGTATGTCACAATATTTATAACCAAGATAATCTTAATTGTCAGACATGTTTGACTCACATTTGCATTTTCCAACCTGACTGTACATCCTGTCCGAGACCCACGTGATATTTTATATTGGAAGGTTCGTCATCAATGCCTCTTTACATCAAGGCTGATTGAGTATAAAAGGAAACATAGGACATCTGTAAAACCTCAAAACTAAATTATGTGTATATGTTAGATTCCTATTGTATATGTAATATGTATATATTTGCTTAATCCTGCATATACGTAACATCCTTAAGCTATTCAGTATGATATTATCTATATAGATATATATATACATACCTATCCATCCTGTATTTATTTGTTCCTCAAATTAAATATATATATATATATATATATATATATATATATATATATATATTTTACCTGATCTATCAAGACTTACTTCTGATACTTAAAACCTCCAGTCGAAAAGGTTTAGGTATTAAAGAATGTTATAAATATCTTGACTGTTTCAGTAAGACCTTACATATTTACTGTTCTAAGACATACTTCCGTTCTCTGCAGTCAGTTACAAACAATTACATCTGACTTTGCTTAGGCCACACCTTATTCCAGCCTACCTCAGTCAAACATCGACACACAATCTCTCCCTACCTTACCTGGTCCACACTCAAATCCCAATCTGCCTCAGTCAAACATTGACACACAATTTCTCCCTACATTACCTGGTCAACTCCCAATTCCAAAATACCTCAGTTAAATATTGTCACTCATGACTTTCCTTTTCCAGTTCGACCTTCATACAAATCTGTTAAAAGTTCCCAAATTATTCATGTAATCAGACATTTTCATGAAGTTGGGGTAAAATGTATGAAGATATTTAGTTGTGTAATTATTTTTATCTCGTTTACATTTATGTGTTTCATGTTTGTATATACAAATTGTATTACCTGTATATGTGTATGTGTTACCTGTGTATTACCTGTGTGTTGTGTTACATGTGCTACCTGTATATGTGTATGTATTACCTGTGTGTTACCTGTGTGTTGTGTTACATGTGTTACCTGTATATGTGTATGTATTACATGTGTGTTGTGTTACATGTGTTACCTGTATATGTGTATGTATTACCTGTATGTTGTGTTACATGTGTTACCTGTAATGTGTATGTATTACCTGTGTGTTGTGTTACATGTGCTACCTGTATATGTGTATGTATTACATGTGTGTTGTGTTACATGTGTTACCTGTATATGTGTATGTTACCTGTGTATTACTTGTGTTGACCTGTATGTGGGTATTACAGGTGAGGGGGGTAGGAGACACCATGGAAAGACTGACCCAGGGCCTATACACACAGTGAAGGAGGATCCTGATATGGCTGATGAGGATGTTATCGTGAGTTACCAGTACACAGACTTAATTCTGAAATATTCAGATATCAGATATATAAAGTTGTCACTTTGTATTGATTAAATTATTAGGTGATTAATCAAATGGACAACTTAAAGAATGTCCATTTAAAAATAATTTGTACCTGTTTAAGGGAAAGTATACAAGTTTTAGTATGATAATTAACTAAAATATAATACAAAGCTGGTAATAAAGCAAAATTTTTTATTCTTTAGATCTTGTAGTTTTCATTCCTGTACATCATTGTTGTACTTTATATATACATTAAAAAGAACCATATATACATCAGGAAACTCGAGGTGTTCCTAACTTAACTAAGAAGTATCCTTTGAGTGGTGGCCGCATCAGAATGAGTATTTCAGCTGGTGACCTGATTGGAAAAACAGTAAGATTTAGTTATATATAAAGTATTCTTGGAAAAAGTTATATAATGAAGAACTACACTGAAATACATAATGATAATTAGTTTTTATATCTACAATAAATATACCTTGTAAATGCATACTTGTATAATGCAACATGAAATGAGTATTTCAGTTGATATCCTAGAAACCATTGTTTGATGATCCTCTGATGATGATTCATAAGTGATCTGTCATAACATGTCAAAATTTTTTTTTATTTCAGCATGATGAGCTTGTGTTACTGTTGATCCAATTACGACGAGAACACACAGATCTTGAAAAGGAGCGCAATTTCTTTCGGGAGAAGGTTGACCAACGGCGTGCTTCCGAACACAACTACAGGCGTCTGTAAGTATTACAAGATGGTCAAAAATAGGAAGTTCTCAGTCCTTAGAAAATGCTTCAGTGGTGTTAACTATTGTAAAAAGTCCAAACCTTTTCCTATGTTATTTTACTGTGATGTTCTCTTTCGTTTGCTGTAATAAGAGGACTGATTTTATTGGCAGAGATGACGAAATCAACGTTGTTTGCTGTAGTATAAGGTTCTTACAGCTTTTTATGTTAGGTCCACATTCAAATGGTGATTTTATTTATTTTATTTGGTTTAGATTTTTTTCTGGAAAATATCAAAAATACAAGAGAGATTAAGTGTCATGTACATAACATTAGGTCACATACATGATAAGTTGTTGGAATAATATTGGTGGTGTTTGGTTACAGTCTTCAAGAATCAGATGGTCCATTTGACCAGCTGACAGAGAGAGAGCACTACGAATACATGCAACTACGCAGTCAATTGGAAGATGCTGATAAACGGGTCAGTACAATGGCTTATTTTGTCTAATTGCTGAAGATATTAAACATTTCATTTGTGCCAGTACAGAGTTTAACAGTTAAGTTAGAAATTCAGAGTGTTTATATCAAGGTCTGACATGTGTATGAATGATTTTGTTACAGTTGGAAGTTTACAGACCCATGGTCAATTTGGTCCACAACATGGTCAACATGGGCAGTCTGTATGGAGGAGACAATTTCATGTTGGCCAGCCAGTACAGGAAGGTAGGTCACATCATTATCTAAGGTACAAGGGAGACAACTTTTTCATTTGCCATTCAGTTCATAGTATAGAAAAGGACAATTCATTTTGGCCAGTTTATTTATAGTACAGGGGAGACAACTTCATGTAATCTGGCCTGTTTATCATTGGTAATACAAGGGAGACAACTTCATGTAATCTGGCCTGTTTATCATTGGTAATACAAGGGAGACAAATTCATGTGAGGTTTATTTTCAGGAATAGAATTTGTATCTCTGTACCATTGAAATTTCACAATCATCACTGATATTAGATTAACTCTGACTGGTTTGTTTAGCATCTACTGTCTCCTGATGAGTTCACTCCGCCCAAAAAGATGTTGGAGTTTTCAAGGAAACACCAGGAAGAAAAGATTGTACATGGCATCAAGGAGGATATCAAGCAGCTGTCTTCTGACGAAGTCATTCTAGAGGTAAATTTAACACTGTCATTGTGTAGATTAAGGTAAAATAATGAAGGATCCAACATGAGTCTCCATCTCTTATATAATTGGCAAAACAAGCCTTAGAATTTTGAATTGTAAAGGCTCACAAACCAGGATAAAACATCAAACTTAGGATTATTATTTCAACTCTATAAGATGTTATTGGTGCATCACAACACTCTGTTTGTGATGTCATGTCATTATCTAAATCTGATAATAGGTTAAATAACTGATTTGTAATGTACAAAAATATTACATGGGTATATTCACTAACAAGGAGGTCATGTGAGCAAAGTATGTCGAGGTCAAACTGGAGTTAAATAGATATATATGTAGGAATGATAGGTTTCCAAATATGTTATATAAAGCTACATGATTGTATAGTGATTGTATGATCTGATAAAATGCCATACATTATATGGGTATGATTTCTTCTCCAGGATAAACTTGAGAAACTGTACGAGTTAGACCGACGGATGCACGAACAGTCCTACCATGTAGCTCAGGCCCAGGAGGACAAAGAGATGCTGGAGAAGGCTCTACAGGGAATTCTTCGTCAGCAGGACACGTGTCGTGACAATCCACGTGAACAGGATCAGCTTATACACCAACAACGCACCATAGAGAAAGAGATCTCACGTGTCATGCACCAACTGGCCAAGGCCTCAAGGGTAATTAAGCCACTTTAAAACAAGTTATAAATGAAGGCTTCAAGGGTAACTTGATCACTTAAAAATTAACTGCCGGCCAAGGGCTCCGGGGTAACTCGATCACTTAAAAATTAACTGCTGGTCAAGGGCTCTAGGATTACTCAATCACTTAAAAATTAACTGCTGGCCAAGGGCTCCAGGGTAACTCGATCACTTAAAAATTAACTGCTGGTCAAGGGTTCCAGGATAACTCAATCACTTAAAAATTAACTGCTGGCCAAGGGCTCTAGGATAACTCAATCACTTAAAAATTAACTGCTGGCCAAGGGCTCCAGGATAACTTAACCACTTAACCTACCTGTACATAGTTCTACATCACTTTATTTATAATAGATTAAAGATTACTATATTATGATGTTTTAACTTTTGATTGCAGGATCTAGAAGAGACTACAGCAGAAAATAACATGATAGAACATGAAGTAGCATTACTGAGATCCAAAGTCACAGGAGAATTGTCTCGCAGTAAAAGTGCTCCCTCTTTGGTAAGTTTATGATCATTAGAGTCTGTAATATCAAAGAGAATATTACATCATATGATTTTGTAAAGATCCATAGATAGGATTCCATTCTGCTTAAGTCATGTCTATTATTTTTGTTGATGAAATGATCTAGGGAGTATGCAGAACAAAAAAGAATTCTCAGAGTTCATTCAAAGTCAAGTAATTTTCTGAGATCAATATATGTGAAGGCCAGTACAAATAAAAGATCACAAAATTTGATGTTGCTGATTTTGATTTATTCTTTGAATTGACTTTTCTGGTACTATGTTGATGCTTGATCATATGGTGATTTGTTTGTAATTTGACCTTGGGATGTAATGTTTGACCTTGGTATTTCATATTACAGTCAAACGAGAGCCTAAGAAACAAAATGAAGATGCAGAAGGACTTGGCTCAGGTGAAAAATATCATGGCTGGATTAAACCAGCAGGGAGCACAGCTGTCAGAAGCAATGAACACCTTACGGAGATCTTCTGCTGGAGCCAAATTCGCATCAGCATTTACTAAAGTGGACCAAAGTAAGATTTCACCTTTTTCGATATTGTTTCAGAGAAAGTGCTATCTGCAAATTTTAGTGTACCATTTTTCAATTCATTCTGTGTCCATTCTCAGTCGTTGAACAATTTTATTATTGCTCTTTTTTGAGAAGCACAATATATATATTTTTCAAGTTTCAAATGAATGTTAGCCAAGAGAGATAGACTAATGACATTTCCCTACAGTTACAGATTTTGAATGTCAGTTTTCAAAGGCCACTTGGACATGTGTTATGACTATGTCCATCAAAAAGCTGAAGTGGTTGTCTATTTAATTTTAGGGCTGCTCTCTTAAACAAAATGACTGCTAGGTAGCCATCTTTGATTTTAACAATGAAAGTTTGGTATTGCTATATCTTGAGCATTACTTTGTGAATTTTTCTTTAATTTCCCCTTGGTCCCTCTTTGTACATTTTTAATTTTAAGACAATCAGAAAAACAACATGTCAGACAGGTGACCACCTTGGATTTTAAATATGACTATAATTGTTATCTCTACTGGATGGTTAAGATTCCTCTTTGGCCTTTACATTGCCTTTTCAATTTTGAGACTGATTAGGGGAAAATGGATAAAGGTGACCATCTTGAATTTTGATTAGTTTGTTAATACTATTTCTTGAGATTTGCTGGATGGATTTTTCTCAAATTTTATTTGTAGACTCCATGTGTTTCTTAGACTAGCTGTTAGACCAGATCAGAAAACAAAATTACAAACTTGTCACCCCTGTTTCTCAAGAGGCGTTCTCAAACTGCATACAGCGAGGAGAGAATGGAAATGATTAAACTTTTAAAGAAGAAATTAAGATGTCCAATGCTTGGCACCAAATCTTGAGATCTCTTTTAAGTTAAACAATTCTATTTCAAAGACACCTTAATTTGAAATTGAACAATAATATCTTACCTGCTTGTATTCATTATTATCAAAATTGCTGTTTACAGAAAACTTGCCTAAACCTGCACCTGTCAGTACCTACATGGAGACTGATCTTGATTCATCAAAAACAACAGATCTGTCACAGGTGCAGGAGATTTTAATGTCCTACCGAGACCAGCCACCCGTCCAAACCTCACCTACTGTCACTGTCAAATCTCAAAATCCACCCATTATGGCTGTTCAGGTAAATATTCATACAGATAGAGAAAGTAGGTGTTTGTTATTATGGCTGTTCAGGTAAATATTCATACAGATAGAGAAAGCAGGTGTTTGTTCCAACATTTGTGATTACCTTATCACACTCTGCTTGTGTGTTGTTGTATTGGTTAGCAGTATAAATCCATCGTAAAGTCATTTAGTGTATAGTGTATATCATTCATTCTGTTTCTTGCGAACCACCTCGGTCGTTGTTTGCCTTTCAACACAGTCATTGATGGTTGCCAGAATTATGTATATTTCAGAACTGTAGCCCTTTTTTCACTGTGGATCATATTATCTGCTCATGTCTCATACCTTCTGTCAATCAGCAAATTCTGTATTTATGGGAGTATCTCTTTATATAGTGAAGTCAATGTCGGGTGTATATTTATATAACAACAACATACAGAGTGATTGCATTTTGTTCATATTTGTACCAAACTTTTCTTGTAGTTTGGCCTATGAAGTATTCAAAATGCTGTGCATGCTTATAGAAAGATTACAAAAAATGGTTACAAAATGAAGGAAAGTAGTGGTCTTTGGTATTAGGTAAATCATAGGTAAAAAGAAAGTAGTCGTCTTGGTTATTGGGTAATTCATAGGTAAAAAGAAAGTAGTCGTCTTGGTTATTGGGTAATTCATAGGTAAACAGAAAGTAGTAGTCTTTGGTATGGTAATTCAAAGTTAACAGAAATCCAAGTGGTCTTGGGTGTTGAGGTATCTGAATAGACAAACAAAAGGTTTAACAATTGATTTTTCCATTCAGTTTAATGACTATGCATGTTTTGCCTGTAGCATACCTCTAGTCTTGAGAGCAGCCCAAGCAGGGTCCCTGGAGGAGAAGATGTTGTGGATGGACAGTGGGATATAGAGGATGCTGATGACAACACTAAAAGATTTTTCGGTGAGTGTCAGATGTTTATAAACACTGTTGTGAAATATGATTTCAGTATGTTGTTTTTATTCATTATAGTTCCCATCAAAAGAAAATCTGTTTCAAAAACAAAGAAAGAGTGTGTTTTGACTGTACCACATTTCAGAGAGTTTTTTGTTTTGTTTTGTAGGTCTCCTTCCAAAGGACAAGCCTAAAACACTGACAGTACGGGATGTAAAGAGACAGTCTGAACAAAGGAAGGAGCAACTTAAAGTTAGGAAAGAATCTGAGGATGATAATGGAGGTGTGTATCAGTTCACTGCAGTAATTGAATAATCACATTTTAATGTAACAGCATTATAATATCAAAATATAATATTTCTTAATTAAGTTTCATGCTCTTCTCAGCTTCAGATTGAGTTAATGCAATACAAAGATGAGTTTTTTTGTTAGTTTGATGAAAAGAAATGAGTGAACCCTTGTTTAGGTTTCCATTGTTGCTGTTAAATCATACAATCAGATTGACATATATGTTAAAACTGTTGGAGAACATGCTTAATTAGCAACTGACTTACACCATATGAAACATTACATCTGTTTGATATTTAAATATTTTGAAAGAACTTAAAACAAGATAGAGAAAGTTGACAATTAAAAGGATTGACTCACAATCAGTTTTATATTTTGCTGTCAGTCTTGTTAAGGAATAATTCATGATTTGCCAAGAGTAAGAGTTACATGCTAATGTACTTTATCCCGTTAGTCATTTTTATCAATATTGTTATGGTACCTATATAGAAGTGTGTTATTCTAGCTACATCAGGTGAATGTTTGTTTTTAATCCCCAGAGCCCTGGAGCTTGAATGGTGTAGATACAGAGCAGGTAAGTTTTTGCATGATAAAGAATTCATATATGATGAGATGTTCAATATGATATCAGTAATTTAACCAGAAACTCTATACATGTATTTTGTTGTGAAATATTTATTCCAGTTAATGTCATGAACATGTACATCATTATACAAGTAATACACAGAAAATCATTATATTGTGTACTGAGAAAATTCATATGTCAGTATACTATGTATTATAAGTAATTACACGGAAAATCAATATCTATGTATACTGCAGAATCTTTTTTACCGTTTATAAATAAATATCAAAAACTTCCTGATATCACCAAACATTCATAGGTATCAGTATTTTACTCAATCAGCCAGAAAATTGTATAATTGAATTTAATTAAATTATGGGGACTAACTGAGAATATTAAGAAAAGGTCTAGCAATTTTAACATGTCTTCTTTGTGGTCAGTGAATGGGGTGACTTGTACCTGTCAACATCTTGGTGGTATCAGGTAGATAATTATTTGTGAAATATTCAGGAATTTTCTTTATTATATCAGGAAATATTTCAGGCTTGCTTATTCTGTGGTTTAGAAGTGTGACATCATTCATAAAAATCATTATTGGAACAACAGAACAAGATGTTTTTGCTTCTTTGAAGTTGAAATTTAAACTAGACAAAAGTGGTTGGAGTTCTAATCTCTTTGATGTGTTATGCTTTTAGACCCAGAATTGGTTCAGCATGTTGTCACAGTGTAGTATTGTCACAGTCAGACTATTAGAGAAAGATGTCTACTTTATTTTGATAGCATGTTTGGAACATTCTGATGGATATTCTAAGAAACATTGACCAAAAACTTTTGAGAAACAAATCTGTACCTTTTCTGAGCATCTAAATCTTAACAGATGATAACTGTAATAGTGAATTTCTTTTCAGTATTTCAGTATAGTTAGAATATTTCAATAATTCCAAATTTTACAATATCATGAAAATATTGATATGACGAGAGGCCAAACCTGAGACAATACTATCCTGGATATTGAGACCTTGTGTTCAGCTTTGTGTGAATTGTGTGATCTCCTTTGTTAGTTACTATTATCCTTTATGATTGAGCTTTGAAATTTTACTAACTTACTTTATTTTGATGCCTAAACAGCCAGCAGGGCCAAATTATACTCAACCTGCCCTCAATAATCAGGGGCCCATATACGAGAATCTCCCACCGTCTGACTCAGCATTGAGGAAATCGTGGTCATCGGTCAACGCTCTGGGCACAAATGGTTCTGCCCCCAACTCCCGCCGATCCTCTGCCCTTCATCTTATGATGCCCCGCCCATTTGTGCCATTTGGCAGCCAACCAACATCCACACAGACAAGTTACAGCAGTCTAAATATAGACAACCAATCAAAGACAAGTGGGAGTTATAGACTTGGCCAGTCAGATGATGACTCTGTTGTCAAGGCAACTAGAGTGATAATCCAGCCCCAGTTAGGAGCTGATAGCCTTGCCATGAGCCCCACAAGTCCTTCACATCATGGCATGTTCAGTGTGAAGCGTACCCCTAGAGGGCGCTATATGACAATCTCTAGTAGTGAGCCGGTGAAGTTAGAAACGACATTGGTACAGCCATCCACACCCAACACAGCTGCTGGAGACTTGATTGTTAACAGATCTGTAAGCTCACTCAATGATTATGTTTTATTGTTATAAGCCAGTAGAGAGACAAGAATTACCTCCCTTGTGAAAAATTGTCAATAGGTGTTTGCGTTGGCCAGAGGTCATTATGCTCTTAATGAGCTCTTGTGAACATTTCATTATAAATATGGTCATCAGATCATGACCAGGCTCTATATTTACGGAGCAATTCTTTTCGTTACTTTTTTTTCTAATGTGATTTTTTTCTTTTTACAAATGAAAATTTACATTACGTTTCAAAATCTTTGTTAAAGATTTGAATTTTTGTTTATTTATTCAGATATTTCAAATTTTGTTAATAAGATCATTGCTTTGGTGAAATTTTAGTTTAATTTTACACTAAATGAAATAGTTGGTTTTATGGAAGTACTGTTTGGTGTCTAATACAACCATATTGTCAGGCAAATTCAACAATGATAATTGAAAACAAAACTTTATGAATTTACTGACAGAGTATCAGTTATTAGTCTTTATGTAATGTGTGTTTTATGTATTTTATATACATGTATTCTATTTCTAACCCCTATATATAAATAAGTTATATATCCAGATGTGCATGTGAGAAGATATTATATTGATAATCAAAGAAGATATTATATGATAATCAAAGTTATACGAGAAAAAAATCCTGTTTGTTATATATCAATTAACATTGTCTCAGTATATAATTGATTTGATTTCATACTAAAACAGAAATCTCAGAAAGTATTTCATGAAGGTGTTTATCCTTGTTTTGCATTTCCAGTTCCAGTCAAATCAATAACATATTTGGATTAACCTTGCTGAGAGTTGTAGTTGTTTTAACTTGGCATGTTGAACAGTTTTGCCAATAATATCGGTGAATCATTGGATGGGTGCATATTTTCAACATCACAGAATTTTCTGCATAAATATTCTAGAGTGTTTTTAACATGTGTGTATTTTGTTTAACCCGTTTCGTACAGAGGATGGACATCCCAGACATTGTACAGAGTTCTCAGATGCGTGATGATCAAATGATAGACACAGGCACCATAGACAAGGAGATTGTAAGTGATCTGTGGGGATGATTCTGACTTTACATAATACAGAGTTATCTGCTCTTGTGAGCAGGAATTAATTGTTACATCATTAGTTTGCATGAGGAAAATACATTGCTTTATCATGATGTTATCCTCACAAATAAATGAGGAAAGAATCAGTACCTGCTGACAAGAGCAGATAACTCTGTATTACAAGTAAACAGAATAATCATACACATGTACTGTAAATATTTTCCTGCTGGTAGAAGTAGTAGAAGAGATAAATGATGTAAAACCTTACTTATCAGACAAAGAATATCTTATGTTCAGTTACTGTCTAGGAAAATGATTACACCATTAAAGGTAAAGAAAGTCAGTATTAATTGGTGACCATGTACCCTAACTAGGATGAGTGGTCAGGTGGTGCAGTGATAACATATTTCCCTTTCACCTAGCCATCCAGGGTTTGATTCCAAGTATGGACATGAAAAGGTATGGCGTCACCTGTCCAACTACATGGATTTTTCCCAGGTCCTCTGGTTTCCTCCCACAGTAAAACCCTGCATGCTTCCATCCAGGCCAACAAGAGAGATTAATATAAGCTGATAGCATGTTTCACATTTTTTGTAAAATAAATAAAGTTAATATGTAACCAGGATTAAACTGAGTGCCAAAGACTCATACAATATGTATTCTTAAACATACTAGACAAATAACCAACATACCTTACTGAAAAAAGTATCACAATCTAGGGTGTTAGTTTTAATACCTGTGTTTTTTACATTCCAAATTATATCTAATACTTTCTCTGACAATTTTGTTTATTAATGTGTTGCAGCTGTTTGTGCCAGACAAAGTTCTAATCCCTGAAAGGTATAATCCAGAATCAGATGAGGAGGATCTCACTGAGGAAGATAAAGCCAGGAGACATGAAAAGGCAGAAAAAATCAAGAAACTTCTTGCTCAGCAGAGGTACATGATGTATATCAGTTTTTGTAAATCTAGGCCAATCATATTATTTATAGTATTATTATAGGTTGTGGCACCATTTATCAACATTAAACTTGATGGCAGCTGTATTTTAACATACATTTAAAATGTCGGAGCATTTCAATAAAGCCCTAGATCTTGTTTCAGCATCCACTCCCTTTCTCAGCCTGATGTGAGCCAGGTGGCAGGAGAGCTACACAAAAAGGTAGAACAAGAAAAGGTTAAGCGTGCCCAGCTTTTACAGGTGGGACAAGACCTCGCACGACAGGTGACACTCAAGACACGACAAGCTGCAGGTAAGTTGATCCTCGCCAGATGTCCTTACCTATCACACAACGTAACCTTTATATCTAGTCTTTTTAACCAATCATTTAATTACAGTCATTTAATGAGACACTGCAAGTAGTGGTGGAATCTCAAGCTCTTTATGAGATGATGGACATTAAAAGTTAGAGAGAAGTGGATTTGGAAATTAAGTCACATGGATACTACAAATTTCCTCTCATTTTTTTTCAATCTTGTAGCCATACAGGATATTTCACTGAAAATGTTTTTTTATAGAATGTGTAGCATGATAATTAGTGTCAGGTTCGAAAGTCCTTAGATCCATGGACTATCAGTTGAGTCATTCTCTGGCTCAATAGAGCACCTTAAAATATGTTTACTTTTAGGTCATCTTTAGTGATTTTCAACTAGACTTACAAAAGGAATAAATACATGGAGTACAATGTTGACGGGGGTCCCTGTTTAAACTGAGATTTAGTTATTGTTCTAGAAATTCCATTATTATGAAGTTTTGAAATCTAGAATCAGGAAGGTGTACACTAATCTGTTTTAGTCTTATTACATTAACTTAGATACACCAAGTGGTATTCACAATTGTGCATGATTTTATTTTACTGTTCAAATTTGCCTTGAAATGTTTGCTTACCAAGGTAGTTTTATCAAAGGGTGTATGATATGTTATTGTATGTCCCAGGTTTTATTACTCAATTCTATTGGTAACCTTGGACTTATCTTTCAATCTGTTATTTTCTTCAGAATGGTACAAGAACCATTAATCTGAAGTGAATTTTCATGTATTTATACACAATATTTTGTATCGTGATTTCTCTAGAAATTTTGTTTGGAAGATATTTTGAAATAACAGACTTTGAGAAAGAGGGTGCAAATCTTGGAAGAGACTTAGGACATAATGTAATATTGTTTAAACCTCTGATGGTTTTTCAGAAATAGATTTTTTTTTTATTTTACTGTGAATTGGAAGATATGATACTTTTTTTCAATATAATTAATTACAAATAAATTGGTGTATATTGTTAGGTTTCATCAATTAAAAATAAAAACATAAAAGATTAAATCACTGTCCATTTTCGGTAGATGTTGCTCCGGCCAAGCAGGTGTATGTGTAGAGGGAGGTATGTGTTATCATATCACATATACACATTGTACAATATTAATACTCATGTATCGTTTTAACACCATGGCTGTGTATTGTTAGTGGGCTTTGTGTTTCAGTCAAGCTGATAAGTGAAAACAATCCAATCACACAAAATATCAAATTAAAACTCATTGTTTCAGGGATAGTTATCATGGCCTCATTCTACTATTTTTTTTTAGTTGAATTGAAATTATAACGGGAAGAAGAAATTTATATTACATTGATAATTCAGGTATATAGAATCTGTTATACAGGGGGGAAAATACATATATGCAAAAACTACATTGGGATTATAAGTCTTGTGTTGATGAATATAAACCAATAATTGCTGAAGTCCCGACTGCACCCAGTACAGCATTATTCCCCCTATATGCAAATGTCTCTTTGCCTTCCTTCTCATAAAGAAACATTGAATGGAAAAAAACAAGACTGGATTGACAATAATGATAAATTTTCCTGATAATTTATAAATAAATAACAAATATGATTAATGAAAAGAAAATAAAAGATAAATTTTTTGATGTTTATTTTAATTCCCAGGGGTCCTGTCTAGTATAATGAGGTGTTAAGATCAGAATGGATTTTTATGATGTTACACTATCACATAGAGGTGATATCATGTTTCAGATTGACTACCATCATGGTGTCTTACATAATTAGGAATTAAATCATGCTGGGCGTCACTATGTTTTAAGAACCACTAGGTCATGAGTTTAGGTTAATTGAATACAATATCTTAGATAATGTTTTTACTTGGAAAATACATGTGTTGTCTGTATGGAGGTAGGAGAACAAATATGTCTACTAAAATGGGGAAGTTACTCTGCATGCTTGTCTGGAAAGAAATTATTGGTGCTTTACATAATGGAGTATAAAACTTGAGATTTGCTGCCATTAATTTGTGATACAGAATGTTGAGTTTAACAAAAGATTTGCATGTAAACTAATGTGAATTACAATAGACTATGTGTTATATATAAATACAACTGAATGACAACAGACTGTATATATTGATACGACTGAATGACAACAGCCTGTATATATTGATACAACTGAATGACAACAGCCATATGTAAACCTAATTATAACTGAATGACAACAACAACCTTAATACAACTAGACTGTGTTTTCTTCTGTGCTATATACTTGTCCATCCTGGGAACCTGATAAACCACACCTACTCTGGTCCCTTGGTTACCACTTACTGTTATACCTGTTACTATGGTAGTATCAGTAACCTTGGTATCACTGTACTCTAGCTCATAATATGTTGACACTCTAAGGTGAAGGTCTGTATCAGTGTTGATTAAAGATCTAGTATTGATAATTGGACAGAATACAGTGTTTCTTTTCGAAAAATCAAGTTGTTTAGAGTGATTCTTAAAATCACTTTCTAATAAAGTAGGAAGATAAAATCAAATATTTAGAATAAGTCTGTAAACTGTCAGTGTCATTGTAATTACTTTTTATAATTAGTATTTCGATAACAGACCTTTAATTCAGAAAGTTCATATTAGTTTGGGTTAGGGTTAGAGTTGGGTTTCAAGGGTGAAAATTGGCCTTTATCTGTATGAAATTGTCAGGTAACATTAGGTGACTGGAGTAAGTCATGTGACTTAAGTTAATCAGCTTACTCACTATCCAGCTTATTTTGCTGGTTCACTGTATTGAAATATGGATGCATGTTTTGCATGTGTGAATGTCCAGGGTTTTGTTATTTTTAAACATTTAATATGTTGCTATATACAAATATATGATATTTCTGACCTACATCCCACCTTGCTAGAACAGTTAATTCCTGAATTAATTGCCATTTGTTTGATTATGGCTTCTCAAGGAATTTCTGAAAGGTTCTATGCATGGTCTCTATTTGTGCATTTTTAAAGTTCTCTAAGGTTCAATACACTGTGTGTAGGATCCTTAACAGTCCCTATACATGATCTGAAGGATTCTAAATGGTCTCTAAGGTTCTGTACAGGATCGGTAGGTGTCTGTATGGTCTCAGAGGTCTCATAAATTATAGTCTGTAGGATTTTCAATGGTCTCTAAGGTTCTATACATGGTCTGTGTATTTCTATATAGTCTCCAGGGTCCGTAGTTTTCTGAATGGCTTCTTAGGTTTTGAACATGGTCCATAGGTGTCTGAATAGCTTGTAAGGTTCTGTACATGGTCTGTAGGTCTGTGAAAAGTTTCTTAGGTTCCGTACATGGTCTGTAGGTTTATGAATGGTTTCTAAGGTTCTGTACATGGTCTGTAGGTTTGTGAATAGTTTCTAAGCTTCCATACATGGTCTGTAGGTTTGTGAATGGTTTCTAAGGTTCCATATATGGTCCATAGGTTTGTGAATGGTTTCTAAGGTTTCGTACATGGTCTGTAGGTTTGTGAATGGTTTCTTAGGTTCTGTACATGGTCTGTAGGTTTGTGAATAGTTTCTAAGCTTCCATACATTGTCTGTAGGTTTTTGTATGGTTTCTAAGGTTCCATAAGTGGTCTGTAGGTTTATGAATGGTTTCTAAGGTTCTATAAATGGTCTGTAGGTTTGTGAATGGTTTCTAAGCATCCATACGTGGTCTGTAGGTTTGTGAATGGTTTCTAAGGTTACGTACATGGTCTGTAGGTTAGTGAATTAGTTTCTTAAGTTCCGTACATGGTCTGTAGGTTTGTGAATGGTTTCTAAGGTTCTGTACATGGTCTGTTGGTTTGTGAATGGTTTCTTAAGTTCCGTACATGGTCCGTAGATATCCAAACATGTACAGTTGTATTATTAATTACTGGCGTGTTTAACTATGGAGTGTAACATTATGTCACCTGAAGCGAAAATGCAGCTTTTATTAAACTTGCTCAATATGCCACTTACCAAAACTTTAATTTCATTTTATTTTATTTCATGATTTTTATATGTCATACTATTTTGCGAGTTTTTATGTAGTAATATGCCAAAATATGTACAATTCATTATGAAGTGGGTCTGTATTAATAATTTTGGAGTTTTCCAATGAAAATGAAAATAGGTCTGTCATCATCTCAGTTATTTTGCTTTGTGTAATATACAATTACTCTTACGATACATTCATTAAAAAAAAAAAACAATTGCGATAAAATTTAAATAAAACTCTGAGATGTGCTGAATCAAACAAGGTTCAAGATGCACACAAATTTTGTAAATGTGATTGATTTTCTAAATGCCTTTTTCAAAAATTCTTAAATTATATTTATGACAATAAGTATAACAAAATGACATTTTAATAAGATTTAATGACATTCAAAGCTCATTTTGTTAAAAATGTTTTAGAAATATTTTGTGATTGTAGAAAGTATTTCTGTGCCATGCCAGAAATTTGTTACGGATATAATGTTGTTTTTTTTACCGAATGTTTAACTGAATTCCACAAATATAAAAAACATTTCCCCACAAAATTGTTTTGTAAAGTCACACACTGGACAGGAGTTTAGTGTTATTTTCTCTTCAATTTTATAAATGAATGCATGTCTATGTTTTTCTCTCCAGCTCGATTCACCGTGAATTAAGAAGAGGTAATTGGTAACAGGAAGTGTTGGGGTGTGGACCCAGACATTAACATGTGTTTTCTAAATCCTACTTGATACTAAACAAGAGTCTGAAGCCGTCACACTCGGGGTTTCTGACATGGTAGTGGTAGTGTGTTACGGCTAGAATTAGCAGGTCATCTCTAACATCATCACAATATAAATACATGGGTCTTGTTTTTTGTATCATTTTGTGATCACATTGAATGTTTATAAAAATATAGGTACAGTTTTCATTTCATAATTTTCCACATGAGCAAAGATGAATGTTAACATTTAAATACAAGGCATTTTTATACTGTTTTGTTTGTAAAACGTACAAATGATAATGTTTCTACATGTAATGTGATATTTATTTTTAAATGGATACTAAAATAGTTTAAGTACTTCAAACTTTTTTTTCTTTAGTAAATTCTACCAATTTAGGTATTTTTAGTCAAAACAGTAATCTCATTCCTTTTTTTTTTTTTTGTAAAGATTCCTTTCCTTTAATTAATTTCCATTTCATCATAAAAATCATTTCTTTTCATTCATCTGATTTTTTTCTAACCAAATTTCATTTCCTAAAATATAAAGAATTATTCTTGCTCGTAATCATTTTTCAATTTTTTAAATATAGTTAGATTGTAACTTATAAGAATAGTAGATAGATTTTTTATGTGAAATATGTGTGAGAGTGCATTTTTGGTTGGATTTGTAAACATTGTTATATTAAACTGAAAACAAATGGCAGATCTGAATTCAGATCATAAACTCATGAACTCCTCTTCCCATGAAATCCTCTCAACTGAACTTCTCTCCCCATGAAACCCTCTCAACTGAACTTCTCTCCCCCATGAAACCCTCTCAACTGAACTTCCCTCTCCCATGAAACCCTCTCAACTGAACTTCTCTCCCCATGGAATCCTCTCAACTGAACTTCTCTCCCCCATGGAACCCTCTCAACTGAACTTCTCTCCCCCATAAAAACCCTCTCAACTGAACTTCTCTCCCCCATGAAACCCTCTCAACTGAACTTCCCTCTCCCATGTAAGCCTCTCAACTGAACTTCTCTCCCCATGAAATCCTCTCAACTGACCCCCCTCCCCCATGGAATCCCTAAACTGAACTTCTCTCCCCATGGAACCCTCTCAAATTAACCCCCTCCCCCATGGAATCCTCTCAACTGAACTTCTCTCCCCATGGAACCCTCTCAACTGAACCCCCTCCCCCATGGAACCCTCTCAACTGAACTTCTCTCCCCATGGAACCCTCTCAAATTAACCCCCTCCCCCATGGAATCCTCTCAACTGAACTTCTCTTCCCATGAAATCCTCTCAACTGACCCCCCTCCCCCATGGAATCCTCTCAACTGAACTTCTCTCCCCATGGAATCCTCTCAACTGAACTTCTCTCCCCATGAAACCCTCTCAACTGAACTTCTCTCCCCATGAAACCCTCTCCACTGACCCCCCTCCCCCATGGAACCCTCTCAAATTAACCCCCTCCCCCATGAAACCCTCTCAACTGAACTCCCCTTCCCATGAAACCCTATCAACTGAACCCCCTCTCCCATAAAATCCCCTCTACTGAACTCCCCTCCCACATAAAACCCTATCAACTGAACTCCCCTTCCCATGAAATCCTCTCAACTGAACTCCCCTTCCCATGAAATCCTCTCAACTGAACTCCCCTTCCCATGAAATCCTCTCAACTGAACTCCCCTTCCCATGAAACCCTATCAATTGAACCCCCTCCCACATGAAATCCTCTTAACTGAACTCCCCTCCCCCATGAAACCCTTTTGAACTGAACTCCCCTCCCCCATGAAAACCTTAATAACATCAAACTCATTATGGTATTGTAACCAAGATACAAGAAAACATGTTGTATTGCAACAGGAAGTGTTGGATAACCTGATGACTTGCTGGTGATGGAAAGTTCATAACATGGGGTTGAGGATTTTGAAGATATTTTGTTCAGATTAAGAAAAAAAATTACACAAAAAAATGGATAACATGTAATTTCATCACCCAGTAACTTAAAAAAAGTATTTGATAATGTATAATTTATTTTCATGAGTAACATATATTTTTTGAACTGATCGAAAAAATAAAATAACTGGAAGAAAAAAAACATGAGTTTGGTTGCAAAACCTCAGTGAAGACTTTAATGTTAATATTTGGGGAGGCATCTTTACTGCTAGTTCTGATTTGGCAGTTTGATGAGTGGCTAGATCAGCTTGTTAATAGACGTTCTGTGTTGCTTCTGAAATGTTTTCTTTCCAACTGACTTACAATGATATAGAGAATCAGATGAATTCAACTGTGTGATTGTATCAGTTTGATCCACATGTATATGTTATACATTTTGACATTTTCAGAACCAAAGAAAAAAACCAGTGATATATACCGTATAAGTATTCTATATCTAAATATCTATTATTAACACATTATATTTTTTAGAAAACCCAGTTTAAACGATAATTTGAAAGTGATAAATGTTTTCACAAGTTGATTGTGCTTTCTTTATGTTACAGCGGAGAGAAGGAAGACATGGTCAGGTTCTCCTGCTAAGTCTCCGAAGGAGCGAGAGATGGAATACAATTTTCTGAATGGACTTAACAATGAAGTACAAGTTGAAACACGTGATGATTTGTATGGACAGTCCCATAGCAACAACATGCAGGAGAGGCTCTTCATCTAATCAGTTAGCTTTCTTGTGATTGGTTGTTCAGTGAGCTTTCTTGTGATTGGTTGTTCAGTGAGCTTTCTTTTGATTGGTTGTTATGTTAAGCTTTCTGATGAGTTGAGAAAGTGGTACCATTCTATCGATCAAAGTAAACATTTCGCCCTGTATGAACGTTTTCTTGCCAAATGTCTCATTCTGAATGGATTACATTTTGTGGATGTAGCCGTAGGAGGTGTAAAACACCAACACCCATGGACAGCCACGACAACTGAGCAATTTTCTGGATCACTGTGTGATTGGTTATTATGTTTTGAAGCTACAGTGTGATTGACTATGTTAAGGGACAACAGTGAAAAGTGTAATATTCTTAATCAAATATAGGAAGTTATAATTACAAAGGATTAAATGATGTTTGGGAATTTTGAAATATTACTTTGTTAAAACAATGGATGAATCCAGTTTGATTAGAGGTATTGTGTCAAACGAATAGTAGATCATATTTCAGGGCTTAAGGAAATTCACTACCAAGTGACAGTTTTTTTATTTCGCTAATTTTGTAGTCTTCTATGAAGACAATTTGTTCTTGTCAACATTTCACTACAAGTTTCACAATGTTTATTATGTATCTATATCATTTTACCAAATAATTTAAAACTTTTTAATGACATTATTTTCAGGTAGCTGGTTTTGTAGAAATCTCGTTAAAGATCAAAATGGAGATAGTTTGTGTAGGTGTAATTATGGAAGCTACGCAGCCCTTTTTTATAGACGTCTTCTCCGTGGATATTGGGAGGGATACATCAAATGACAGGTGTATTTTGCATTGTTTTGTTTATATATATATATAAAGAATTACAGGGACAACCAAAGTACATGATCAAATAGCATAAAGAATTATTGATGTGGGATCTTATTATTCGTTACTTGAGCAGGCATGTAAATTTAACATGAGGTCCTTTTTCTTAGGAAGGTTGATCAGTGTTGGGGTGGTGGGGGAAGGGCTGCTGTCTGGTCAGGAAGGTCAACATAAAGTACTGTTTGTTGTTCAGACATGTTAGTGTAAGGTCTGTTGGTCTCATCAATACAAGGTTGTGTCTAACGATGTCCAGAACTGGATATGTATATATGTGTATACCCTTCTGATGTGTATATTTATAGTTCAGTACTTGAAGATGTAAATTTCATGTGATGTAAGGACATGTCAATTAAACCTGTGATATTTTCCATTGTTGATATTCTTAGTTCAGATATTACAAAAAATTGTTTTGTGTAATGATTTTATGTTCAGAGTTATCAAATTATTTTTATGCCACGTTTTTAAAAAAATATTGAATATGTTTGATAAATGTAGACACACACTTTTCAACATATCATGTGGAAGCCAGAGACTGTTATCATGTTGCCATGGTGATAATAATCATTGATATATTATTTCTTTTACTTATAATTTTCTTTCAATGAAGTTAACAAGTGACATTGTTATCTATCTTAATATGATGTTTCTATAATCTTCGGGGATTTTTGGTATGTGTGAAGCTGTTGAAGTGACTTTGTTCAGAATATAAGTTATAGATATGAAAATGGCAGGTTTTAACATTATTTAATCTTATCACATTTAGGGCATTGGTACTTAACATTAGAAACATTTAGGGCATTGATTTAAAATCATTCATCATCATTTTAAATAACATTAGAAACATGAAAGGCTGGCCAGTTGGTAGTTTAGTTGATGGGAAAGCTGTCAAAGAACTCATTGTTATTCTATAAATTACAACTCATCATGTGTTCTTCACAGGGAAATTCTTAAAAGACTTATTATCATGTCCTCAATGTTTATCAAATTTATCAGATGTCACATTGTTATTCTATAAATTACATCTCACCAGGTATTCTTCACAGTGAAATTCCTAGAAGGCTTTTTATCATGCCATTATGTAGATTAAAACGATCCGATGACTCATCGTCAAGATATTAATTAAGATGATCACACAAGTCATTGTTGTGATGTAGATTAAAATGATCAGATGACTCATTGTTATTACATATCTATGTTTGATGTTTCAGTGATGTTACTAAATTATTTACTTGTTAATGTTCTCGTCTGTCTGATACCATTGTTGCCTTGGTAAATCCCAAATTATATGGATGTTAGGGTTTCCTCCAGACAAAGGAGAGAATGCTTCTGTCATTAAAATATACAATATAGATATATTTTCTGAATGAAACAATACATATATCATTTTCTGATAAATACAGAGTTTGCTACATTGGTGAGCATGCTTAACTGATAATCATTGTCGTAGCAGTCTGTATGTAGAATATTTCATTCATTTCCTGTTTGCATATCAAACATTAAACAGTATATTACATTACTTAATTTACATTACATAATGTATAACATTGTACATATACAATTCAGATTTTTTATAATATTTTTATATACCTATATCATACATTGTAATTAACATATCAATATTCCTATAGGACAAATGTATAAACTGGATCCAAAGTCCAGGGAAATCCAGCTACCTAGGGTGGCTAAAAGCAATAAACAATAACAAAACTCACTAGACCTTGTGTTGTTTCTGTGCTGAGAGTGACAAACCTTCGACTCTTCAAGCCGTGAGCTCACTAGACGTGTTGTTTCTGTGCAGAGTGACATAACTTCGACTCTTCAAGCAGTGAGCTCACCAGACGTGTTGTTTCTGTGACAAATCTGAAGGCCATGACAGCAGATCTCCTAAGAGTGACAAACCTCTTTAGGCCATGACGTGTTTCTCAGAGAGACATAGACCTGCTGTTTCTGTAGCTTCGGCTCTTCAAGCAGTGAGAAACTGACAAATCTCCAGACTCTTTAGGCCATGAGCTCAGTTTACTCACCAGACGTGTTGTTTCTGTGCTGATAGTGAGATAAATTCGACTCTTCAAGCCGTGAACTTACCGGACCTGTTGTTTCTGTGCTGAGAGTGACATAGCTTAGACTCTTCAAGCTGTGAGTTCACCAGGCATTGTATCGTTCCTCTACTCAGTCGCTTCCTATGTTTTATAGTAGGATTAAACAGCTGTATGGTGCAGTTCGGTTTGGCTCAACTCCAAATAAATTGTATTGAAAGGTCACTTTGAGTATTTCCAGCGTTAGTACCGACAAAATGAGAACATGGCATTACTTGAATTGGCTAAGATTTACATGGCGGATGTCGTTGATAAAGCAGAAGGCGCTTACTCTTCCAGAACTCGTGAATTTTTCAGGAGATTCCAGATAAATTTTTCGTTTTTGTTTTGATGCTAGTTGGTTTTGGTTTTAAATCGTTAAATGTCCTACCAACAGTTATGGTAACAGGAGGATGTTTATGGGAGATATCCGCCGTTACAGTTTTTCAGAAATTAGAAGGCGGGATGGGGGTAACATGCACAGTATTCATTTCAGAATTGCGTGATTCGATGACTTTAAGACACTCTTTGACATGAAAAAATTGGTTGAGTGGTGATTTCTAACTGATTGGACAAAAGCCGAAATGACATCTATGATAACAAAATGAATTCGATGAGAAACACAGAATTGTAGACCTTGGAGAGAACTATCAGAAAAAATTCTAATGCAGGAACAATTTAGCAAAACCAACCTGGCAAGCACTGGACGTTTCTGTAACTTACCATTCGAAAGAGACTTCCTTGATGCTGTTGATGGTCACAACATATAGTCAATAGGAATCAAAGAAAACAATGTTTATAACTCAGAGGTGTATATAATGGGATATGTGTGCTTAATTACGAGTGGCAGAGAGAGAACACGTGGCCAGTGTCTTAATGTATAAGCTTTTTCGTTACAAAATATAAACTCGCTTGTCTCAACAGTTATTTTTATTGTTAAACGTAATTTTTAAGTAATTTCATAAAATAACTATGTCGAATCAACGCACGTGCTACAAAAACAGCTGTTTTCTGTCACTGTCGAATACAAAATATTTTCTTAATGAAAGTATGAATGAAATTCACAATAAATGACTTGGGAGATTTGATTTGATTGAAATATTTCTAGGATTTTTCTATGACTGAAATCCATGTATTTCTCGAAATTCTTTATATACAGTAAAAGTAAACATTGCCATCGTTAGTTGAAGGACAGGGGAAGATTTAGACTTTCCATACATAGACATTTTATGTAACGTCACCTCCACTGGGATACGTAACAAGGTAGCTAGAAGTGGTAAATTCCGCCCGCAAAGTGTGTTAGGAATACCTACCCTCAAAACCTCGTCATATTTTAAGGAAAACCAGACATTGTTACAAAGATTGAAACATATTTTATTTACAGTAATGACAGAACAAACGTTAGAGCCACACTCAAAACATCATCGAGGATGCACTTACAAGCTTCCAGCAATAGTCTTAGATATTTAATAAAATTACGAATATTTTTACCTATTACAAACCTGGTGAATTTTATTGTGGATATTAAAGTCAACTTCAGGCCTTGTAACACTAATCATTGTACTGCACATTTTAATAATGGTGGAGGTCATTATCATACTTCAGTCATGTCTTTAAACATCAGATGATAAACATGTGCTGCTTAAGATTTCCAGATTGTTTCAGGAAGGAAATAGAGCTAACACGGCGGAATATTGTGACTAAACAACAACAAAGTAAATTTGTATGCCATGTCATGGTTATGAAACTGACAATGTCTTCTTTTAAACATTTTCCAACACGTTCTAGACAAAATGGGAATTCGTGTAGGATATTCAACACCGAAAACAATGGGCACGAGCACCCTTACACGATAACATCATAAACATTTGATAAAAAAATCATTCAAAATTATTTTTGGGTTAGATATGTCTTGATTTAGTCCTCAATTAGCTGTATAACAGTGTTATATTTACAAGTATGTTATTTCTTACTACGGGAATACTTCACAACAATGAAACAACTATGACATCATTGATAATGATATAATGTAATAAAAATAGGTCAAAAATTCAATTAACATGTATATATCTAAATTATTATTCAAGCTTCTAAACTAGATACAGCCAGTTCTTCACAAAGAAGGTATTGAACTTGATGATGAATAGCTAACGAAAAATCATCACAAAATTATTCTTCAAGCTTCAGTAACAGAACAAAGACAATATTGAACTCTATGAATAAAGAAAATCACAAACAGGACAAGTGCAACATATAAAAACAAGCAAACACGTAGATCTAAACACAAAAGAAAAGTAAAAAATAAAACCAACAAAAGAGATTTACATTGCGAACATACACCGAGAATATGATCAGATATTCTGGAAGAGTTCACGTGTTTTTTGGGCCTTAACGAGACCCGATACGTAAATCTTT